TTCTCGCTCCTTTTCCCTCTTCTCCTTCGCTTTCCTTCAGTAATTAACCAAGAAAGACGTTCACAAATTTCAATCGATGTCCCAAAGATCACAATTCGATTTATTTGCACTACAAAAACCAGAATGATTGAAATGAGATGATTATGGTGAAAACACCCATCTCCTCTTGTGACTTTGTGAGTTTTTAGCCATTGAATTTGCTTTCTTTGTTGTTTTATATTGACTACATATTGGTTGTTTGGTTCCTAACGCTTGTTGCCATTTTGTAGAAAAACGTTGGGAGATTTTCGGACTCTCAAGTTGGCTTAGCACTGATTTTCGATTTTTGGAGTCTACTAGGTGAAACCAAAGCTATAAGTGGAAATCATAGGTGCAAAGTATCTACTTTCATTTCCCTTTGAATGACTCCTATCCTGATCTCCCAAACAATACATCTGGAGGTCATTAATTTTAATACCCATTCTTGTCCCTCATACCCATTTACCTGACACCCCCAAAATTTGCTTCTATTGTTGCATGATTATATTTCAGTTGTATAATATTGAAAAGACACGATGAAAATATAGGACATGGATATTGTTATTGACATAGAAAATCATCCAACAGATATATTACTCTTCATTTAGATGTAATTAGACTTTATTTTTTCCACTCAAAATGCTTGTTGATGCACCTTTACTTTCCAGTAAAGTTGCAACCTCCCTGTTCGAGTACAGATGAAATGTAGAAAATGGAATTTTACAAAAGAAAAAAACAGCTAACGAACGAAAAAGATGGGAAAAAATTTAGGCATCATGAAAGGCAATACTAGTATTTTTTTTTTTTTGGTAAGTGAAAAGTTTTGAATTAAAGGACCTCGTACTTATCATTTTTTCCATTTTATCACCCAACTCAATCCCCTCTCGAGTACTTGTAGTATAAGTTTTGTATAACTGATACAACTATTATCCTGTTACACTACTATACAAATCAAAGACCTAATTGTATTATTATCTACAGTATTTGAAAACAGAAGGGCAGAGACAAAGAGAGAAGAAATGTATGGAAAGTTAATTTTTTACGTAAGGAAAATCCTATTACCCAAAAATTATCACTCATGTAACTAGATGACAATTTTGGGACAAGAAATGTAAAAATATTACTACATCAAAAGTCCAGCTCACTTGATGTAATCAAAAGTAGTCCATATATTAACCCCTGCAATATTTATTATTACATCAAACAGTATTGTGACACGGGCATTAATCTTTTTTTTTTTTTTATCTTGGTAATAAACTGGGCTTTTATCCAATGACTGCATCAATACAATAAAGTAGCATTGCATCGTAATGCATACAAATGAAATTAGCTACTAAGCCACCAAATAGAAAAGCAAGTTCTACCATACCAGCGTACTAGCTTTGCTTAGCTGAACTTTTTGGCTTTTGACCTGTTGTAAGATCAAAATAACTTCCCAAGCACATACTTTTTCAAGAAGTGGTGGTAGATTCTACGAGGTCCTTAATGGTAATGGCCAGTTCTTTAGCCTTGGAGGGATCTCCAAACTCATACCCATGACATCCTCCCTCATCAAACTTACCTGCTACCGGTACACCATTCTCTTCTAATTTCTTCCAAAGCTCAATCTGGCGGTCTATTAACAGATCACCGTCACAGCCAGTGACCAAAATCTTCCACCCCAGAGATTTGACCTGATCAAATTGGTCTGGCTTAATCTTCGCCATTGGATTGCAATACTCATGATCGCGGTCAACGCCGATTGGCAAGCTCAGATCCCACAACAGATCAGTTAATGTCAACGGTACAACCCTGTCCTTGGCGAGCCTCAACTCTGATTCAGTCCTCTCGATCCCACCAAAGTATGGCTGATGCAATATCAAACCTTTGATCTGCAGAGGCAGGAGTTCGTCAACACACGCAGCTACATGGAGGCCAACATGATAAGCTATGTTACCACCAGCGCTACTGCCCATCAAGAAAGCCTTAGACAAGTCAGCATGTTTTTCCAGCCATTCATCGTTGGAGTTTTTGATGATCCAATGCAAGGCTTCGAAGCAATCTTCATAAGCTGCAGGAAGTCGGTGCTCCGGAGCAAGACGGTACTCGACGGAGACTACGACAGCCGGAATTTCAGTCACAATTGGAGTGTACAAAGCATCAAAACTGGCTGTATTTACACTACACGCGACGAAGCCTCCGGCATGAAAATAAATAATGAGGGGCAATTTTTGTTTAGGGGAGGAATCATCATCATCAAACGCTTTCCGCGGAACGAATATTCGAGCCCAGGTGCCCTTCGATTGGTTTATGTCCAAGTCCTTTGAAAGATGAAAAGGGCTGCTAGGATCGGACGAGGCAGGTGTGCTCGGTGGTTGAAACAGGCGTGTGATTGAGCCATCGGGATTTTTTGCCAATCCCATGTAGCCATAGGGGTTTTCATTAGGATCAACTGGCTGCTGAACTTGATCTGACATGATGGTTTTCTTGGACAGATGTTTTGTGGGTAGGAAAGGATAGAAGGTATATTTGTAGAGGCAGCAGAGTCTTGATAGTTTTCTCTCTGGCTGCGTTGGCTGATAGGATTTGTAGTTTAGACGATTAGTATACGTGTTTGCCTCACACTCTCAATACACAAGAACGCCGTTCTATCCTATGTTTTTCGAACCGGACCGGATAGCGACTCGACCGAGGCCAGGGGTCAGGGGTCAATGGGTTCGACCGGGGGTCGATAGGGATCAAACCGGATGACGTCATAAATAAAAATTATTTAAAAATTAAAATATTATATATATAATATTTAATAATATGTTGATATTAATAAAGGTATATTCATATATATTTGATGTTTCAAATATATTTAATATGAAAATACAAAGAAATTAGAACAATCAAGTAGCAATTTATATTATTTAATAAATATTAATAAGTTTAGAATTAAAAGTATGAATTAAATTGAAAAATAACATCAAATTTTAGGATAATATTTATAAAATATCAAATATTTGAGGTATATCAATAAGTTTTAATAATTTAGGGGGTCAAAACATAATATTAAAAAGTTTGAATTTTTTTTTAAAAAAACACTGTTGAACCGGAAAATCGGTTTTTTCCGGTCAAACCCGGTCAAAATCGGTTTTTGACCGACTTTGACCGAGTTTTAAATTCCCGGTTTTTTAGTATGGCTCGGGCCGACTATCTGACCGATTTTCGATTCGACCGGTCGGTCCGGTCCGAATTTCAAAACAGAGGTTCTATCTGCTAATTTGTTGTACAACATGTAGCAATTGATTGAACTTTGAAGATCAGTCAATAAGTGCTAAGTACCAACAACTCCTTTGTTTTTTTATTATTTTTTTATTTGACCGAGGAGTGGAATAATAGTTTTCATTTTTCAAACTTCCCGGGAAGATTAAAATATTGACCACTTCTTCAACTTGACACGAGAGACCGTCAAATTTGGCGATTGAATTTCGATTATTATTAATGAGACCGAGGAGGGTTCTTAATAGGACTGCAAACGAATCGAGCCGCTCGAGTCAAGCTCGAGTCGAGCTCGATATTAATCGAGCTCGAGCCGGCTCGAATCAAACTCGAGCTCGAACTCGAGTTCAGAATATTAAACTCGTTAGTATATATATATATATATTTTTTATTTAATAATAAAATTATGTATATTATATATATTTTTTATTTTTTATTTTCATAGTAAAATTACGTATATATCCTTAATATTTTATTATTTATTAAGAAAAAATATTATTTTATTTATTTTTTAAAAATAAAATAATTATTTTTTTTTTCGAGCTCGAGCTCGAAAATTGCTGGCTCATCCAGCTCGAGCTCGAGTTTGGTAAAATTTAGTCAAGATTCGACTCGATTAACTCAAAACTCGACTCGACTCGTTTGCAGCTCTAGTTCTTAAGAAGCCCAAAAGTTGAAAAAGAAGTAAAATCTGGGAGGGTTCCAACTTATAAGTTGAAGGTGGTTTGGAACGTCCCCGGGTAGCACAGAAGGAGATTTTGGGAGCAGATATTTTGGGAGTTGTTACCCCTAGGGGTGATTTCTTCTTAAGGGGGTTTGTCATTTCTTATCTCTACAATAACAAAGTTTGTGTAGGCATTAACTTTGTTTATTTTCAAATTTATTTTTATCTCTATTATTTTTCTAATGATTAGCTTCTCCATTAATCATTATTTCTATTATCAACTGAAACACAAATTTTATCCAATCAAAATTACCTCCCTTCAATTCTCACATTCTCCCTTACTAATGCGTTTTTTACTTCCAATTGTACATATTTCTGTATAATACACTTTTTATCACATATTACATAAAATAGTTACGCTCATTTGCACTATTTTTGTAATTCTTTCAATTTAAAATATTTTTTGACAAATTGCACACGCATTAAGTGTGCCTCGATAACTAGTAGTAACTAATAATGATGAATAAAGGGATACTTTATTAGTTTGACAATTTTTTGGACGATTTTCTCTATCTTCCAAACATCCAAGTAAACTGGCACAACAATTTGAGTTCAATTTTTATTACAAACTCCACCCAAAATATTCTTGTTTATTGGTACATCAGGTAAAATGCGGTGAAGTTGACCTCTATTGTTGCATAATTATATTTCAGTTGTATAAAATTGAAAAGACAAGATGAAAAATATAGGACATGTATATTATTATTGACATAGAAAATCATTCAACAGATATATTACTTTTCATTTAGATGTGATTAGACTTTACTTTTTCCACTCAACATGCCAGTAGATGCACCTCTACTTTCCATAAAGTTGCAACCTCCCTGTTCTAGTACAGATGAAATGTAGAAAATGGAACTTTACAAAAGGAAAAAACAGCTAAGGAACGAAAAGATGGGAAAAAATTTAGGTAACATGAAAGGCAATACTAGTAAGTTTTTTTTTTTTCGATAAGTGCAAAGTTCTGAATTCAAGGACCTCTTACTTATTATTCTTTTTCACTTTATCAGCCAACCCAATTCTCAATGAATACTAGCAGTATAAGTTTTGTACTCCGTATAACTGATACAACTATCACCCTGTTACACTACCATGCAAATCCAAGACCTTAATTGTATTATTATCTCTTTGAAAACAGAAGGGCACAGACAATTTTATCACTCATGTAACTAGATGACAATTTTGGGACAAGAAAAGTCCAAATATTACTACATCAAAAGTCCAGTTCACTCGATATAATCAAAAGTAGTCCATACTGCACACAAATGAAATTAGCTAGTAAGCCACCAAACAGAAAAGCTAGTTCTACCATACCAGCGCACTAGCTTTGCTTAGCTGAACTTTTTGGCTTTTGACCTGTTGTAAGATCAAAATAGCTTCCCAAAGCACATACTTTTTCAAGAAGTGGTGGTAGATTCAACAAGGTCTTTAATAACAATGGCTAGTTCTTTAGCCTTTGTGGGATCTCCAAGCTCATACCCATGACATCCTCCCTCAGCAAACTTGCCTGTCACCGATACACCTTTCTCTTCTAATTTCTTCCAAAGCTCAATCTGCCGATCTATCAACAGATCACCGTCAAAGCCAGTGACCAAAATCTTCCACCCCAGAGATTTGACCTGATCAAATTGGTCTGGCTTAATCTTCGCCATTGGGTTGCAATACTCATGATCGCGGTCAACGCCGATTGGCAAGCTCAGATCCCACATCAGATCAGTTAACGTCAACGGTACAACCCTGTCGTTGGCGAGCCTCAACTCTGACTCAGTCCTCTCGATCCCACCAAAGAATGGCTGATGCAATATCAACCCTTTGATCTGCAGAGGCAGGAGATCGTCAACACATGCAGCTACTTGGAGGCCAACATGATAAGCAATGTTACCACCAGCACTACTGCCCATCAAGAAAGCCTTAGAAAAATCAGCATGTTTTTCCAACCATTCGTCGTTGGAGTTTTTGATGATCCAATGCAAGGCTTCGAAGCAATCTTCATAAGCTGCAGGAAGTCGGTGCTCCGGAGCAAGACGGTACTCGACGGAGACAACTACAGCCGGAATTTCAGTAACGATTGGAGTGTACAAAGCATCAAATATGGCTGTATTTACAGTACACGCGACGAAGCCTCCAGCATGAAAATAGATAATGAGGGGCAATTTTTGTTTAGGGGAGGAATCATCATCATCAAACGCTTTCCGAGGAACGAATATTCGAGCCCAGGTGCCCTTCGATTGGTTTATGTCCAAGTCCTTTGAAAGATGAAAAGGGTTGCTGGGATCGGACGAGGCAGGTGTGCTCGGTGGTTGAAACAGGCGTGTGATTGAGCCATCGGGATTTTTTGCTATTCCCAGGTAGCCATAGGGGTTTTCATTAGGATCAACTGGCTGCTGAACTTGATCTGACATGATGGTTTTCTTGGACAGATGTTTTGTAGATAGTAGAAAGCAAGATAATTGTAGAGTTTATGAGGTATTTGTAGAGCCTGCTTGCCAGCTAGTTTGACGGTTACTCTCGTTGCTCTCGATAATGACTTGTATTATATGGGATTAACGTTCCTATGACATAATCTATCCTAACCTAGGAGACGGAAGTCGATGGAAGTAGAAATTTTATTAGAGAAAATCACTTAAGGCAGTCACATACAGTAATAATTTGATGAAAGGTAAAAATTAAACCCATGATTTCCCAACATCATCAAAATTTAAGTGCATGACAGTGATCACCAGGCAAAGGGCTGGTAGCGACCTTTCTCACTTCACAAGAACGCTAATTTATTATATAACCGTTTGGTTGACTTCTGATGGAGAAATCGATTAAAAACCGGCTGATTTACTCCTAGTGCTGTAACTTAAATTTTGCTGTCTGCATTCGATGAGTTTTGATCCAACAAAATTTTGGGATTTTCACTGTGACTTGTGGGACATTGGGGATTCGGCCCCATTGGTGGAGTAGTTGGAATATTAATAACAGCTAATTACTCCTTTGTTTCTAGTGGTTCGATTTGAACGAAGAGCTAAACAATAGCTTTCAAACTTCCGTGGAAGGTGAAATGTTGACCAATTCTTGAACTTAGACTGGAGACTATCATTTTTTTTTTGGGTAACGCTGACACTTGTATAATCTATTCTAACCTATTTCAGAGGAAGGGAGAGCCTGACCGACGAAGTTTCATCGAAGGAAGCCACTTGCAATAACCTACTCTAACCTATTCTAAACGGGATTTCGTCGAGGGAAGCCATTTGAAGGTGATAACCATAATTAAATGACAAATATACGATAAGAGAGGCAAGAGTTGACTCCTATTTCCACCAAAACTAAAGTCTTAGTGGTGATCGGCAGCTTTCAACAACTAGGGGTGTGCAAAATCAAAATATTCCGATTTGCCGACCGAATTCGAATTGAATTCGGAAATTCAAATTCAATAATTTGGAATGAAAATCTGATTTCGATTTCGATTTTGAATTATGAATTCGAAATCGGAGTTTCGTTTTCGAATTGGTCGAATTCGGTAACGAGATTTTTCAAATCGGAAAATTCCGATTTCGAATTCACAATTCAAAATCGAAATCGGAATTCAGAATTTCTATTTCGATTTCAAATATGTTTTTCATATATATATATATAATATATAATATAACATTTATATTATAATAATAATTTTTATATTCATGAATTCGGTGAAATCGGAATTCCTATTTCGATTTCAATTTTGTTTTCACACACATATATATATTATAATATTATATATATATATGTAATATAATATTTATATAATAATAATAATTTTTATATTCATGAATTTGGTGGAATTGAAATTTACCGAATTTCGAATTGGATTCGAAACGAATTCAAATTTGAAATTGGTGAATTCAAAATCGAAATCGATCAAAAATTCTGATACAAAAATTCTGAAAAATTTCGATTTGAAAGTTCCGAATTACCGATTTCGATTTCGATTCACACCCCTACCAACAACCTCTCAACCCAAGCGGTTGTTGGCTACTATCGTATTTCGTTGGTAGTCGAATCCGATCCTTCCATCTATGATTGGACTGAGGAGGGTTCAAGCCCAGAACTTGAGGAAAAAGTAAAATTTGGGGGCAGTTCTTCTATCTTCCAAGTTCAAGTTTCAAGATTCAATCTACTTGGGAGATCCTCTGGGGCCACTAAAGAGATTTTGGGATCTGCTGTTTCGGGGTTGTTACCCACCCCAGCCCCCTGGTTGTTTTCTTCTTAAAGGGCCTTTGTCGCACGTTATAAACCAAACAAAGAAACAAAAATTACAGGGAAAATTACTGTCTTAGTCCTAATGTACAGCCCTCCGTAGTTTTAGTTCTTAAAATTTTGAAAAAAAAAAAATTTGATCCCTAATGTTTAATATATGTATAGTTTTGGTACCTAAAGTTTGGGCAAGAACATATCTGGTTCTCAATGTATCCAATTTAAAGCAGATTGATTTATGACAATTGATAAATTTTTACTGACATAATTTAGTCATTAGCAATCATGAGTCCATTAAATTGAATTCTAAAATAAGGGTAAATTACACTAACTTGAATTTTAAAATAAGGGTAAATTACACTGACTTCCTCTCTAGTTTCTGCAAAAGTTACACACCTCCCTTCTTGATTTTAAGATAACAGGGATCTCACCTCTAAATCACTATATAATGTTAATTACTTCCCTTACTGTTAACCAGATAATGAAAGTCAATTTGTATTGCCATTAATATCCTCCCACATCCCAAAATGCCCTAGGTTGACATTTTTTTATTATTTTCTACAAAATTGAAAAATCTGATTGCAAGATCTTTTTTCTTTAGCTCTTATGGTAGTATGAAACACATCCTAGGATTTTGTAGAAAATATCCAATTTAGATCCAACAGAATTGGAGGCTTCAACCGCTGATATAAATCTCAGGCTCATTCACTAGGCTAAAAGGCCTATATTTCCCTTTCCATTTTGATATCTACCATTTGTAATGTAGTTATTATACTCGACTCGACCTGACAGTTGAATTGGTCAACTTGATGAATCAGCCACCTAACCGACTGGGTTAGTAATTAGATTGGATAATGGAAGATCCCATTGATTAGTTAATGATGCAGTGGGGGTTGCTGGAACTTGAATCCAAGACTAGTCGGTCCATGTCTTTCTTTTCGAATAGGAAATAGTTCAACCAAAAAAATCTCACAAACCCAACAATGATTGGACTATCGGTTCGACCACTAATTCAATTATTTATTTTTTTTAATAACTCAAACTTTTCATTTTAATTTCATCATCATTTTTCTTGCTATAGTATTTCCTTTTTATAATAGATTTTTAGAATTTTTGAAAAACATTATTTGTCAAAATTTGCTTATCACTTTTGATGAACGATCAATACTCCGCAGCCAAGGTAGGTGGAACAATTGAGTCGGCGACCGCGACTGCAACTGCCATGGCAAATCAGGTCCCAACCCTGATTAAGCCATTAGGATTAAGGCCTATGTCACTTAATTCGTGGATGGATCAATTCCATTCATGGTAGATTTCCTGTATATGAAGACATTCCAAGGTTTATGCGGTGGTAGACCTGGCGGTCCATCCTGTATAGGTTTTCGGTGGTTGTGAGCAATTGAAACATGGCCAGGTAACATCAGGTCACCATCCAGTTGAACTCTATATGTTGGCCTCCGGCCAAAAGAAAAAGAATGATACGCATGATGTTGTAGGCAAGCAAACTTGTGTAGAAAAGTTTGACCCTGGCATCTGAAATCAATAATGTCTGAAAAACCAGTGTTAGAGGAGATTAACCCGACTCTTCAAAACTTCCAGTAGATTTGTAGTTACCCAACTCAACAAAAACAGATGAGTTACCAGACCAGAGGGTTGAGGTGCATGAGACATCGGATTAAAATTTACTTCCATAATACAGATTTAGAAGTTTGATACAGATATAACCTGGGTTTAAACCTGACTACTTCAATAAACCCGGGTCTAATCTATTGCATGGTTATTATCGTGTGACAATGGTTTAAACCCAGGTCTAACCTGTTGTAATTGTAAACCTGAAAGTTTTTGAAGGAAATAAAGAACACAGAACCACTGACCAAATTTTGAGAGTAACCTGTTGTATGATCAGAACAATATCCCAAGCACAAACTTTTTCAAGAAGTGGTGGCAGATTCTACGAGGTCCTTAATGGTAATGGCCAGTTCTTTAGCCTTGGCGGGATCTAGAGCCTCGTACCCATGACTTCCTCCCTCGTCAAACTTACCTGTTACTGATACACCGTTCTCTTCTGATTTCTTCCAGAGCTCAATCTGACGGTCTCTCAACGGATCACCATCAAAGTCAGTGACCAAAATCTTCCACCCTAGAGCTTTAACCTGATCAAATTGGTCTGATGTAATGAACGCCATTGGATTGCAATACCTATGATCACGGTCAAAGCCAATTGGCAAGCTTAGATCCCACATCAGATCACATACTGTCAACGGTATGACCATGTCCTTGGCCAATTTCAACTCAGATTCAGTCAGCTCGGTCCCACCGAAGAATGGATGATGCAATATCAACCCTTTGATCCGCAGAGGCAGGAGATCATCCATACATGCAGCTGCACTTAAGCCAACATGATAGGCTATGTTACCACCAGCATTGGTGCCCATCAAGAAAGCCTTAGAAAAGTCAGCATATTTTTCCATCCATTCATCGTTTGATGATTTAATCCAACGCAAGGCTTCAAAGCAATCTTCGTAAGCTGCCGGAAGCCGGTGCTCCGGAGCAAGACGATACTCAACAGAGACGACGACAGCCGGGATTTCAGTAACAATTGGAGTGTACAAAGCATCAAACATGGCTGTATTTACACTGAATACAACGAAGCCTCCCCCATGAAAGTAAACAATGAGAGGCAATTTTGTGGTAGGGAAGGAATCAAATGCTGCTCGGGGGATGAATATTCGAGCCCAAGTGCCCTTAGATTGGTTAACGTCCGCGTCCTTTGATACTTGAAAAGGATTGCTAGGATCGGATGAGGCAGGGGTGCCAGGGGTTTGAGCTTGAGACAGGCGTGTGATAGAGCCATCGGGATTTTTGGTCATTCCCAGGTAGCCATAGGGGTCTTCATTAGGATCAATTGGCCGTGGAAATTGATCTGACATGATTGATCTCTTGGACAAGCAACTGTGGATAGAAAATAATGGCAGAGTCCATGAGGTATTTGTAGAGCCTTGCTAGTTTTATCTCTTGCTGCATTTGATAATGGACTTGTTGCAGTCGCGTACGTGACTACCTCACTTGAGTGATCACCTCACCATGAAACGATCTCTCTCCCCACCTCAAACCTCGTCAAACTTGCCATCCAGTTGAATTCTGCTATAGAATTTCATCAACAATGTGCGACTAGAATATTCTTTAATTTTGCTGTCTGGATACAATGACATTCGATCCAATGAAGAATATGATGTTGTAAACATTTTCATGCGACTTGTGGGATTTGGCTCCATTCTCTAATTTGTTTTTCCTTTCCTTTGAACGAGGAGTTAAAGAATAGTTGTGAACATTTCATGAAAGATGAAATCATTGACCAGTTCTTGAACTTAGATAGGAGACACAACGTTTGGATAACTATTTTTACGAGTTTTTGTAGAAAAATATATAGTAGCGATTTAATATATGTGAGATAAATATTTGATGTATGTGATTGAAAAATATGTTAATGAAAAACGTAAAAGTTATTTGGAGAAAAATTGCAATCCAAACATGATTAAATTTGGCAATGAATTCTTCTATCGAAATTATGAGACTGAGTAGGGCTCTTACCTTACTCTTATTAAGTAAAATCTAGTGTCAGTTCCAACTTCAAAGTTCTACTCCTATAATCCAAATTATTGCATGTCCGTTTGACAATATTAAAGCCAGAAAGGACCGCTGATCCAGATTCCAGCACAACCAAATTACATCAGGTCAATTTAATCCAATTATCAGAATAATTATAATCTCCAAAAAGAATATTCCTTGTATTTGTATTATCAGGTAAAATGCTTTGCAGTTGACTTTTCTTGTTGCGTAAACATACTTCAGTTATATAAATTTGAAAAAGGAAATAAATGATATTGTTCATTTTTTTTCTTAAATGTGAGAGTTCATTTCCTCCACTCAACTAAAGCTCAGTCATTGAAATTCAGGCACCATCCAGTGAAGTTCCAACTCCTCCCCTCCAGAGTAGACGTGATGTGGAAAAAGAAATTTATAACAAAGAACAAAAAGGATGGTAAAGGTTAGGCAATTTGGAGGCTCAATTGTGTTAAAATCTGCTTAAGAAAAGGAAAATAAAATTAGGGGAAGTTAATTTTTTAAGCCAGAAATAGATAGTTACCAGTAATGATGACATTTAGGGTTTATTCTTCTCACTTCATGCAAATGGTGTACTCATAATATTATATTTCAGCTTCTTTATAGATGAAATAATTCATTCTTATATGATTTTGTAGCAAAACCGCAGATTATCTGCATGAGAGTTTTGGTAATTGGTACTCTGCTCTAAGAATTGATAAATCCATAATTGTCTGTTTACTAAGCATGAGGAGCTCTTACTTATTAATTGGTGCCAATGTCAATTAATTGAGGAACTCTTAAGCAAAGAGTTCATGAATCCAAAATCCATGCATCACTAGTAGCTCAACTTTAATTAAATTTACATTTCATCATTCTCTCCCCCCTCCCCCCCCCTCCCTTTGGACTTGGAAATTCTAATTTCTCACTTTCCAGTATAACAGCTTGATTTCCCCAAGCAAAAATTATTTGTTTGTATCATAAATACATTTTTCAACACATATTTTTATCTCATATACATCACATTACAAATAGTGTTACAATAATTATTTGAAATAATATTTGAAATAAACTTATATCCAAACACACTACTCTATTCGCTTTGTTTGGACATCTCATTTTTTCAAATAATATTTCACCTATATATCATAAACACATTTTTCAATCCACCTTTTATTTCACATACATCACATCACAAGCAGTGCTACAGTAATTATTCCAAATAATATATTAAAGAATACTCTATCCAAACAAATTTCACTTAAAGCAACAACCAATCAATTGAGTAAATTCTCAAGTTTTTGAAAAGCGTGAGACAACGTATTTAATTAGTGTATTTTTTTTTAAAAAAAATGCATTCAGTAAATGCATTTTGAAAAAAATAATATTTAGACAATTCAAAGATTGCATTCTATGAATATAACTTTCGAGGAAACAATGCATTCATTTAATATGTTTTTCACCCTTTGAAAATTTTCTTCTAAAAATCTCACTTTTTGGGATTTTACTCTAGGCCAACTATGTTAGCTTTGATAAATTTGAGAAAAAATTTGCTATTAGTCTCATAGCTCGACCTACCACATACAAAAGAGGAAGTAGTGTACATTAAAAAAAAAAAAGAACTTTTTATGCAAAGCATTTTTAGGTAGATGGTCAATTACTTGCAATTAGTACTTAGGTTCCCTGTACAGGTGTTTAAGGTGGACCTCCCAATCAAGCTGTTAAGGTTCTAATATTCAACAAATTATGCCCATAATACAGATAGCAGTCAAAAAGTTTTTTTTTTTTTTTGATTTAAAGTTTTATGGCGGGAATCCCTATTTCCCTCCTTTTAACGTTTCAAAACCAGAATCAATCAAGACCTTCGTCAATCCAAAAACTCCAAACCCCTAAACCTTCTCTCTCACACATACACACACACATCAAAATGCGGAAAAACAACGACGAACAACAGCTCCGTGATGCTAAACGGGCTTATAAGGAAGCAAAGGAGGTGGGGAATCGGGCGGAGGAGGCGCGGTGGGCAAATTACATCGGCAATATTCACAAAAATCGAGGAGAATACGTCCAGGCCCTCAAGTGGCTCCGTATCGATTATGACGTTTCAAGCAATTTTTTGCCAGATAAACAGCTCCTTCCGACTTGTAATACCCTCGGAGAACTGTATCTCCGCCTTCAAGATTTCAAGGATGCCCTAAAAATTCAGGTAATATTCTGTTACTATTACATAATTGTGTTGCTTGAAAGTGTGGTACCTTAGGCCTATGAGTTGTATGTTGCCCAGAAAATTAAAAATTTCCTTTTTTTCATTAACTGATTGATTGATTGATGAAGAAATGCATGCAATTGTTGGTTGTTCTTGTTGTCGTATGTGGTGTTGTACCTTCCACTACCTGTTTGATTCTGCTTTCTAGAACTAATTTTCAATATAATTGCTGAATTGGTTGACATTTTCGTTTTTTGGTTAATTATAAATTAAAATTCCGTTGATATTCATACAAAGTTAGTGCCTTTAATTTTGTATTGCTAGAAAAAAAAATGTTTTAGAACAGGGAGGGTGGGAAGGAAGAAGCTGGGAGGGGAGGGAGAGTGTAATAGAGATGGTGAGAATAGAGCCGTCGTGCTAGGAGGAGGGGAAAAAAGACCCTTATCCATCGGACGGCTTCAAATTATGAAAGGTATTGACTTAGCTCCGCTCCTTCCTCCAAATATTGGTTAGTGATGGTCATCGGCTTGCGTAATGCCGCAATTATGAGAAGCTGTTGTCGTGTAACATGATATTGATACCTTGTAATTTGTGTACTCTTGGAACCTGTTTTTGTGTAATGCACATATTATTTGTAAATGCAAAACTTGCCTGTGCAATTGGTTTGTGATGTTTAAGGTCGCACGGATATCGTGCTCGCATTAAGCCTTTGCAAGGAGAAAATACCATTTCTTAGTGTATGGGGTAGAATTTGAATTTGGTCAAATGGGTTCTTGCCTAGAGTCACAAGCCTTTCAAGTTTCAAGCGGGATTTTCTTTCCTTCAGTTGCTTTACAAATTATTGAACAGTTGATCTTTCTAAAGATTCCAGTTTCTGATTTTTATTAGTTTAGAGGATTAAATTTTATTGATTTTACATTGCAGAAAAAGCATTTACAGCTTGCAGAGGACACGAATGACCTCATTGAGCAACAAAGAGCAAGTACTCAACTAGGTCGAACATACCATGAAATGTTTATGAAGTCTGATGATGACCATTCCTCAATCAAGAATGCAAAAAAGTACTTCAAGTCAGCAATGAAACTTGCTAAAAATCTCATGAGGAATCCATCATCTTGTAAATCTACTTTTGTTGCAGAGTACGTTGACGCCCACAATAACATTGGAATGCTTGAAATAGATCTTGATAATCTGGAAGAAGCCCAGACAATTCTTAGTAGAGGATTAGAGATCTGTGATGAAGAAGAGCTTAGTGAAAATCATGATGGGCGTAGTAGGCTTCATCACAACCTTGGAATTGTTTACATGGAGCTCAGGAAATGGGACAAAGCTCGGGAGCATATGGATGAAGATATTTCTATTTGTAACAGAATTGGGCACTGCCAAGGTGAGGCAAAGGGTTATATTAATCTTGGCGAGTTGCACTACAGGGTCCAAAAGTATGATGAGGCCATAAATTGTTACCACATGGCACTTCAACAGGCAGAGTCAATGGAAGATGAGGATGTTTTAGTCAGTCAAATTGAACAGAATATTAAAACTGTTAAAGCAGCAATAAATGTGATGGATGAAATAAAGAAAGATGAGCAGAATCTCAAGAGGCTGGCCAGGAACATGCAACTAGCTAGAGGCACAGCAGGTGAGAGGAAGTGTTTACTGCAACAGATTGCATCTCTTGATCGTCTTATTGAGAAATCAAGCATGATCTTTGCATGGATGAAGGTATATAGTGAAACTATTTCCTTATTTGCTTATGCATTATGATTTAGTTTGGCTAACTTGCTTCTCCATAGAGAATTAATATTCTAAAAATTGTGCCTCAGCTCCAAATTTAAATACTGCATCCATTGGTTTGTGTTTAACCATTGAGTCTCTTTTTATCAATCACAGTCCGTGAGTTTCTGAATTTGCATATAAAAATAATGATTTCTCTCCTATGACCATGTTTTGGCATTAAATATCTTTTACTCTATGCCTGCTTGTGAAAGCAGGTTGTTCCAGTTGGTCGACCAGATGGGTAAAATCGTGAATATAAGAAATGAAGAAATTGGTTTAGACATGCCAGGTAGTAATTTCTTGCAGTGGAATAACAAATTTAATCTGCATAATGTAATTACATATTGACTGCTAGTGAAGGATTGACATCCATTAAATAATTTTAGTGGTCAACATCAAGAGATATTGACATGTCACTGGAGGAGTCAAATAATCTTAAGGTTTTTATAAGGATTAAAGGATACGTCTCCATTGACTCAAATGTCTTTCATGCTAAGAGAAAATCAGTCTAACATATTGAACAATGTGCATCTTTGTGTTTATTTTTTAATCCCAGCGGCATCTTGTTGTGTCCTGTTTTCTTTCAATTGTCAGCTAATATACTAAAGTGAAAGTTGAGTAACTGTGCTTCTGAATTTCTTGTGCTCAGCATCTTGAGTATGCAAAGAAGAGGAAGAAGATAGCTAATGAAATTTGTGACAAAGAGAAAATGGGTGATTCATTTCTATTGATCGGAGAGTCATACCAAAAGCTCAGGAAGTTCAAGAAAGCTCTTAAGTGGCACACAAAGAGCTGGGAAACATACAATTTAATAGGCAACTTGGAGGTAACTTAATATTTCTCTATAGACATCAGATACTTGTGCGGTTTAGTCATCAGTGTCCTTAACACAGGCAGCTTATGCATCAAATTAGTTAATGCACATTAGGTCTTTATGGATTTCTTTTTTATATGAATCTTATTTTTTCTTGTTTTGGTAAGTGGGTATAGTTTATGTGCCTTGTCATTCTAGGGACAAGCTTTATCCAAGATTGACATAGGAAATGCTCTTGACTCAAACGGTAATTGGATGGAAGCCTTCAAAGCATTTGAAGAGGGTTACAGGCAAGTATCTTCACCTATTACATTTTCCTTGCTGTCTTTTTGCAGCTCTGATTGTTAGTACACAGGTGCTTGGAGTTTTTATTGTGAATTTTCCGATTAAAGTTTTCTAACATGAAGGCTATAGATTGACTGGGTATGATAGATTTTCATTATTTCCTCAAATGTCCTATTTTCGGAAAACACAGTGACAGTTACAGGAACAAAAATGTTGAAGCCTTTCTGTGTGAATATTCACTAAGCCCAGCAGACAGGTGTATATCTGAGTTTATAAACTTATCTGAGAATTCCTTAAATGTAGGTAAAATACAATTTTCCCTGCTTGTGCTTGTCATTTTGCATGTGGAAAATATGGATGACTGCTTTGGCATTGATTCCTCAGTCTGTTGATGGAAAGAGAGAAAAAATGGAACTAATTGAATCAATTAAATCAGTTGAAGGCAGTTACTAGTGCTCTAATTTGTTACAATTCCCAAAAATTGCTATCATGAGTTTCATGATGGGTCAAAGTTGTTTAGAAGATGCTTCTTGCTGCTGAAACTCAATCTGTGCCTTTGCTGCCACTTTTTAGCTGCCCAGTTTGGCGCCTATACTCATGCTCTTTGATGTTCATTTATAATGCAGGATTGCTGTTGAAGCTAACATGCCTTCTGCCCAGCTATCTGCACTTGAAAATATGCACTACAGCCAAATGATCAGATTTGATGATGTTGACAAAGCAAGGTACTAGAGAAATTTTTGCTTTACCCATTTTGAACCAATCTAGATATCAGTCACTAAGAGAAAGGTTGTGGAACTAAGACCTAAGGAACAATGTTGTTGTGGATGTGGATTTGACTCCTGCATGTTTGAATCCAATCACTGATATAAGTTTCTTTTAGTTTGTCTCTCCTTTATAGTTTTATAAGGTTCACATGTTTTCTGAAATGAAAGTTTCTTCTTTCAGGAGCCTGAAGTCATTAATTGATAAACTGAAGCATTTAACACCTAAGGAAACTCAAGGACAAGACATGCCAAATGATTGTTCTGAAACTGAAACAGAGATTGATGATCTGTCATTAAATCCACCTGAAGTTAGAATTTCACCTGAGAGAAGTATATCAAATGCCAGTAGATCAAAGTCTCTTTCTGCAAATGACTTGAGTGAGAATGCTCCTTTAATATCATTTCTCCGTAACGGTAAAAGTGCTGAAAAGTTGAGAGCTGTGCATGATGCAACAGTTGAAACAGCAGTCAAGCTGCCTGAATCTTCACCCAGGAAGGCATCTATTGCTTCTGGTAGTCAAGCGGCTGGTCGTAAACGAATTCGTCTTGTTCTTTCAGATGATGAATCTGAAAATGATGGGGAGCATACCTCCAGAAGAACAGCTTATAACTTCCATGCAGAAGAGGTTGCTACTTCAAATGGATGTAAGTCAATTCCCATCTTATTTCTGCTGTATGCTTATACCAGCTCAGAAGAGTAACTCGCTTGTGTTGCATTTGTAGGTAAGAGTAAAAGCAATCTCAAGAGTCCTGTTCATGAGCTTCAAGTAAGCAAATATTTGTTCAAACTCTTATCAAGCCTTTTCCTTGTAAGCTATGCATGAGTCTTTTGGTTTTGGCAGGATCTTTCACCTGTTGCCTCAAGACATGCCATTAGCACTTGTACTCCTGTTAATCTTGAAGAAAGCAGTTGTTCCCATAAATCTGAAACCTCTGCATTAGCTGCTCAAGATGCCAAGGATTTTAGAGATCCATACAGAAATAAATTTGACAAATCAGGAAACCTAAATTATAAGCACAATATGTCCAATCTTGATCCCTCTGCTTGTTGTGCTGAAAGTTGTGTAAGTACTGAAACGGAAGTATCTCTACATCAACTTTTTCTTATTACCTGTAGCTTGCTATGAAGTACTACTATACATGGTAACTAGTAGTATTTTCTACTTTTTTTTTCTCTGATACATTAAACAAGACTTCCTTGTCAGCTCTTACTCTCCTTGATGGTCCATGGCTTTATGTACCAAATCAAATGTATTTAACTGTAACACTGAGATAACTAATGCTATTGAATCTTCACCCCTGAATTAATTAGTTGCTGCTTACTTTCATGTTCAGTTATAATTGCATGAATGACAGAATGTGATGCTTAGGTTGTGATTGCAGCAACATATGATATTCAAAGTCAATGATGACTTTGTACATTTAGAACCAGACTCTTGTATGCTTGGAGATGAACTCAGTATGGAGCAGCTGAAGGCTGGAGTGGCATGCTTGTACTACCTACAACTACCGTCCGTGAAGAGAGCAAAGGGTATGAATTAATATTCTCTTCTCAAGTTGTTTTCATATATTGTATTATAAACCATACATTTTCTAGTGGACCAGGCCTTTTGAAAGCTAACAATCCATTTGAATAGTTAGCAAGTTTGTGTAGCAAAGCAGTTCATGAGAAAGTGAATGAAAGGAAAGGGGAAGTTAATTCCTTCTTATGCCTGTTTACTAGAAAAGACTATTCAAGGAAATGGGTGGTGATGGGTAGTTGGTTGGTTAAAATCAATATTCTGTGTGTGAATTTCCGCAAATTCGTGCAAGTTTTGTGTGACAGAGTGTTTGAAAATTATTTCCACAGGTAAATTATCCTTTTTTTTGGTTTTTTTTTTTCAACTGAACATCCAAGTCAGAAAAATAGCTACTCTTCATCAACATTTCCTTGATATTCCTGCCCCTCAAATATTAACTAATTGATTTCATAATTTTGACCAAAACAATAGAAAGTATGGGGTGTGGAACCCTTTGACGTTATACTAACCAATTGATGTCATACTCTGAAGACCTACATCATTTTCTCTTGCTGCACAAACTTGCGAGAAACTAAGGGATACTTTTTCTATGCCCAATTTGACATACTCAATTAGTTAAAACTAAATAGAATAACTGAAAAGATTCCTATGTTTTCTAGATACAGAAATCGATTTGTCAATTCCCAAGTATCACTGAAGGGGTATGGCTGGATAAAATTGCTCCTCACATGACATGGATGAAAGCAAGAGAACAAAAGATTATTCTAATCCAATTACAATTCTGTAATGATTGCTAAGGGAAAATCAGATAAAGGAAGAAAAGGGAGCAATGAGGAAGTGAGTGCAAAATGTCCATTGCCTCAGGCTTTTAGATTTTAACATGAAGTCACAATACTGATGAGATGTTACATAATTGCCTTGTCCCGAGTTCTCTAATAGCTAACTCTGTTGTCTTGTTCTCAGTTCTGAGTCACTGACACACTTGCCTTGTCCTTAGTTATTTAAGTTTTATAGGAGTGCAGATAGGGGAGTAGCTGCTAATACAGATTAAACTTCTCATCAGGTCTAGTTCCGGATGTTCAAGACCTAAAAAGAGATGGCAAAGTCCTGGAAACTTTGGAAGCAGTTGATGAATTGAAGAATCACACATTTGGAAACAACATATTTGAAGTTTCACTTGGGGGTAGGCCTTTTGCTTTTGAACTATCCATTACCATGTGAAGAATCTTGGATGTTTGTTTTCCCCAACCAGTGTGCTGCTATTGAATACTTTGATAAAAAGACTGGTCTCTTGCTATCAGATAATTGTGAAATGGTGAAATGACAGGAGATAACTTGTGGTTTATTGATAAACAGGTTGTGTTTTCGATAAAGAAATATATACTCCAATGCTTGTCTCAATGTTCCAATTGCATCTTAAGCTACACTTTTGACTTCACCATCTACTTCTAAGATTACATAGTATTAATTTGTAACAGGCACTTCAATTTTCTAAGGAAAGACAGAGGTTTTAATCTGCTTTGGGTTGAAAATGGCACCAGGATGAGCTGATTTATTATAACTTTATCTCCATTGATAAAAGTCCAATTATCTCAAACTAGATCTTTATTATTCTGTTGGAAGTCTATTTGGTATGGTAGGCATTCCACATCTTGCTTGGCATGTTGATTATATATCAAATGCATTTATTGATTAATACATTAGTATTTAATAGGTTTTCATTTTCATTTACATTTTGGTCCTTAGAGCTGTTTGGCAGCCCCCAACTTATCAAGGAATGCTTACACATCATTGAACTGCAAATTGGCATAATTCTTCTGAAAGTCAGTGCTCTACCATTCAACGAGAAAATCCCAAGTTACTTTTGTTGTTTTGAAGTGCATGTCCTAATATCATGGTTTTATTTGAATATTATTTCTAAAATAGCATACAAAAAATACTTGTACCCAAATTAACTCTATATCATTTAACAACAGTAGTATTGGTTTCTGCCTTTTCTAATTTCCCATATAGTCCACAGAAGCCAGTGGGTAAAGTACTAGTGGCTCTCTGAGGACTCAATCTTGTTGCATGAACCATAGCAGTACATCTTCTGTACGAGGTGGTCCATTGGCCTCTCTACCATAACTGTTTAGCATGCATGTGTTTCTAAAAGAAAAGCTACTGGTCACCAATGGAAATGAACTTGTTAATACAATGATGATTTTGTTATGTTTACGGGGTATCCTATATAACATACAAAAAGTTATTCTACCCCAAAATAATTTTATACACTCAAAAACTAGTAGTATTGTTTTTATGGTACTTTCATCAATTTAAGTGATGTAAGAAAGAAACCTGAGAGTTTCATCAATCTCTCATCTGTGAAGTAATGTGTCCCTAAGTTTGAGTGTTATTTGTGACTGGAGTATTAGCAAGTGAAGAATGAAGAGCAATCGATTTTTGTCCTGCTTTGAGAGAAAGAAGTTGCTTCTCTTGAGTTTTAATATTTTTTTGCAACAGTTAACCATCTGTTTGTAAGTGATTGTGAGCGTTTTTGTTAATTTGGAATACTACATGTAATGATTACAATTTTCATTATTGATGTCTACATAAGCCACACAAAAAATCTCCAATTATGCCATTTGGGTTATTTTTTATGAGGTTCCAATACCTGTACAGACACCATGATTCTTTAGTCCAAATGCCATGTACTCAGATACTCTTCCAATGTCTTTCAAGCAGTATGGGTACCAAAGCCAGTCATGAAGTTATATGTTGATTGCTGCAAGGAGCTATCTGAACAACCTGATTTGAAGGTTCTTAAGAAGCTATATAATCTAGAGGTGAGATCCCAGGAGCTGTGTGTCTATGTTGCTGGCTTGCTTTTGATGAAAAGTTGGATTACTGGTGTTTAAGGGTTTAAACCTCTCTTAAACAGCTTTAAAATTGAAAATGATGTTCGTACCCTTTGATATCTACTGTTTTTTCTAGGTATCAGAAGATGAGGTTATAGTATCTGACTGTGGATTGCAAGACATATCAGTTGCACCCCTGCTTAATGCCTTGTATGCTCACAAGACAGTCGCAGTCATAGACTTTTCTCACAATCTTTTGGGTAATTATAGCTTGTTTGCCTCTCTTGCTATTTAACTTAGTGGTTTAAACTAAATTGCATAGCCTCTCCTTTGTGTTCTCTCTCAGGAAGTGCCCATCATATTTCTATTTCTCTGGGTCATTAACAACAATATTTCTAAAGAAAAAAAAGAATGATAGTTTTAGCTGGTTTTGATAAATACAGAAGTCAAAGTTTTGACAAATCAACTTATTTCTTAAAGATTGACTTACTGATTTTCGAGAAATCGACTTTTCTTTCATTCCTTTCCAGTTTTCTTTCTTCTCCTTCTTTGCTTTTCTAATTTTCATTTCTTCTTCTTCTACACGTGACTTGATTAATCTGATGATTGGGTTGTTACTCATCACGTGCTATTGTTTAGTACAGCAATCATGTGCCTTCTCTGATTAAGGAAGACATCTTCCACCTTTCATTGTATATACCCTCTTTTCTCCCAGCACCTAAAACAGATGTATAAACAGTTAACACATTCGAAATCTATTGTCGTCATCAAAGTCTTCAGATATTTAGTTCCATAACGTTTTCAAGAGTTCTACAATAGATGAATTATTCTACTTCATAAGGAAAGAATTATCACATATCATGTTGAGCATCTATTCAAATACTTGCCTGAGGCAATGCAGTGCATTTCTCTGTGAGCTTCCATGGCTACTGCAGATGAAGAAGCCAAGCAATCTTGTTTGGATGTCTTGACAATTTGTTTAAATCCACCAATGTTTACCCTGAGCACATTGGTATTCTTTTGGTGAATATTGCATTTTGTTCAATCCAAACTTTGCTTTCTGCCATGATTGTCAACCGCTAAAAATTAAGAGGCAACATTAAGATCTTCATAGAATTCAATCCAGAAGAGTTGGAAAAGAGTTTGCTTAGATTATTGTGTGGAGGTGTTCGGTGTGAACAAGACAAGGGAAAAGAGAAGTCATAGTGTCAGACTTCTTAAGGGACTTTATAGTCGATTTCTAGGAAATGAATTTCTTTACTGAAGCTAAATAAGCCATCAGTATTACTTTAATTTGGCAAAAATATATCATTTGCTGTGTAAATGACCTGTATATCTCTTTTACTAGCTAGCTGCATCTCTCCTATTTTCCAGGAAATGGAACAATGGAGAGACTTAAGCAGGTGTTTACGTCATCAGGACAGGATTATGGTGCTTTAGTTTTGGATTTGCATTGCAATCTACTTGGTCCCACTGCTTTATTTCAAGTATGTTCCACTTCCTTCACCCTGTTCTCATTCTTTTTAGTGATAAGAAACTCATGAATCAGGAAGCGAAGTGAGAGTTTTGAAATGACATAAATGGAAGCTCATGAATTTTAAGGTAATGATACAGTTTATTATTGAAATAGATAATTCAACAAGTCCATAGAAAATTTCCTTTTTATTCCAAGAGGAAATTTTTCAGGACCCAGTTATTCGCTCTAATTGTGAGATTTTGCGCAAGTTATACAGGTTCAGTATCTAGAGAAATCGACTCAATTCTTTCTATTATAAGTTATGTGAACAAGGACATACGGGTTGAGTAGTACTTGAGTTAGACCTCATCAGAGTCTTGTCTAGATGGTTTATGGACACTGACATATAAAACTGGAAAATAGCTTGAATTGCGACTTTATTCGAACCACAGTAGTGAAAGTCATTCATATCCACCAATAAGAGACTGTTTATCCTTCTCATATGCAGATTTGTGAGTGCCCTGTGCTATACAACCGATTGGAAGTACTAAACGTCTCAGGCAACCGCTTGACAGATGCATGTGCTTCTTATCTTTCCACCATTTTGAAGAAGTGTAAAGGTGAACCTCTCTTTGTTTTGTTTTTCTCTGTCTGTATCCCTTATTCTCATGAACGAAATCATATTTGAGAAAGCACTGTACTGTGCTAAATATGTCTCTGCGAGCATGCATTTTAGTGCTAACATGCTGGAGATATTGCTTACTTGTAAGTTACTGATTATTAACCAGTTGCACTGTAAGTTAAGATATAAAAGATCAATATTAGAATTATATTGTGTCAGGATTTTTGTATTGCAACCATCTTCTTGTTTCTTACGATTCTCCTAAGTGCACAGATCTGCCTGTTTTTTATCATTGTTCTTAAGAAAGCTTTCTTCACCAGCTCTTTATACTTTGAATGTCGAGAAGTGTTCTATCACGTCTAGAACAATCCAAAAGATTGCTGATTCACTGGACTCTGGATCTGTACTTGCGCATCTGTCTTTAGGTACTGCTCATTCATATGACGAGTCGTTTTCAAAATCCTCTTTATGCACTATTCTAAGACTCCAAAATTCTCTGTTTTTGCACAGGACACAACAACCCTATATCTGGCAATGTCATTATCAACCTTTTTGTGAAGATTTGTAGCTTAAAAAGGTATAACTTCGTTAGAGATCTCAATCATTCTTTAATTCACAATTTGTTCAAATTAAGATGCTAAATCAAGGACCAAAATTTTTGTGTTGATGTTTCTAGATTCCAAGAACTCAACCTAACTGGCATAAAGTTAAGCAAACCTGTGGTTGATAGCCTTTGCCAGCTTGCCACGAATTCATGCTTGTCCGGGTTGATACTTGGAGGCAGCTACATAGGAACAGTAAGTGTATTAGCATATCTGCTTTAGGGAGCAATAACTTGATGAACTTACGTGGGAGGCCTTTTGCAGGATGGGGCATTACAGTTAACTAAGTCGCTAGCTAATGAGACCCAGGAACTGGTGAAGCTTGATCTATCATCATGTGGACTGACAAGTGACTATATTGTTAGGCTGAATATTGAAGTATCTTTGATTTATGGTATTCTTGAGCTGAATCTTGGAGGGAATCCTCTTATGCAAGAGGTATGTTGTCTTTTCTACTAAGAAGCATGAGATGTGAGTTTTTGCTTATGTATTTCTTAGATGTGTTCTTTGTCCTGAGATGCGATAGCTTTTGTTTTCTTTTGAAGTATGGAGTTTACAACGTTAATCTGTCAATAAACATGCTAATGGATTTGCTATTGGCGGAATTATGCTTTACCTGCTTGTGCTTATCACCATGGATTTGCATAAAAGATGTGAGTAATTTTCAGAAGGCAATCATTACAAACATTTGGCTAATATCAGATGTTCATGCATAAAGTCCTACATGCATCCGAGTGTTGCTTGTCGCTATGTGAAACACAACTAAGCAGGTAAACTTGCTGCATCACAAGCTAGTAAACCTCACATGCCCCTCATTAATACTAGAGATGCATCTACCTGGCATTAATAAGAATTTGACAAAGATCATAGAATTAATTAAGTGAGAAAATTCTGCAATTATTCCTCTTCATAACCTAACAGAAAGCATGAAATCAGGGTGGCAAGGCATTGGCGTCTTTAGTTGCTAATCCTCAATGTGGTTTGAAAGTCTTGGTGTTAAGCAAATGTCAACTTGGCCCGGTTGGCATCCTCAGGATACTTGAGGAACTAGCGTGCAACTCCTCCCTTGAAGAGCTGAACTTAGCTGAAAACATCCATCCAGAAAGCAACGCTTCAGAATGTTGCTTAATACCACTGAAAGAAGGCTCAAACTTCAAGCAAACCAACCCCAACCTTCCGGAATCTTTGTTGGAAGCATATGCATCCAAAGAGGTTCAGGGTTCTCCACAAGAGTTGTGTACTGTCAACGCAGAATACAATCAGCTTGAAGTTGCAGACAGTGATGACGACACAACTGGCGAGAAAGTTGCACCTTCAGGACTGAGTGACAATCCTATTGACTCATCTCAAAAGAAAGAACTTCGTCTAGAATCTAGTTTCATTCCAGATATTTTAGCTGCTATTTCCAGGGCAAAACATTTGCTAAGCTTAGATCTTAGCGACAACGGATTCTGCCAATCTGTTGCAGAGAAATTGTACACTGCTTGGTCAGCAAGTTCAAGAGCTGGTTTAGCTCAGAGTCACATTCAGGATAACATGATTCATCTGTCAGTGCGAGGACATAAATGTTGCGGTGTTAGACCCTGTTGCCGAAGGATTTGAGCTTGTCCCTGGTGCAATTCCTGATTGTTCTCAACAACTCCGTCGAAGTTGACAGAAAAACCAACAGGACATCAACTGCGCTACTTCCAACGCTGGCCATAAGAAGCTTATGTAGATATGTGCTTTTTCTACCTTGTGAACATTGTCAATCTTTTCATTTTTCCATTCTCTATTTATACAGTTTGTGGATTATTATGAAGAATCGAAACACTAAAAGCAAATACTTGCCAATAATGTGATTTTGTGATCTAACAGCTACACAAATGACTTGCTTCAAGCATTAGTTTCTCTTCATAATGTGATTATTTGTGTATGTAACTTGTACCCACTAAGGATTTTTGCTATAGAATGAATTCATGTATAATAATAATCGTTTATAAAACTGAGCTGCAAACCAGAAATCAAGGAAACTTCGCAGGAAACTCGAAACCTTCTCCAGCAAAAGCAAGAAACAAAACAGTTGAAAGGAATCCATAGCTCAATTGCCGGAAGCTTAAAGCTAGTGATATTCCTTTATTAGCAAAGAAGCTGCCGTCCATCTCCAGTACCGTGATTCGAAAAGAGAAATGGCAAAAGTAAACGTGTTTGATTCCATTAACCTACCTTCTCTAATTTTTCTATCATTTGGGACAGTTTTTGAATAATCTATTATTAAAATTTTGATATGATCATTTTTCATATTGATATAAAAAAAATATATTATCGAATTTTCATCCTTTCCCTTGTAATGAACCAAAAAAAAAAATCAAGTTAGTAAATAAAATTATTGTCAGCGATATTATGTTTACATATATATATATAAAACTATTGCACTTTTTATGGGGCACTTTTGAAATACAAGGTCTTAATTAAGGACCAAATTTACAAAATTTCCGCCACAGCTAAGAGTGACGACGGCGGTGGAGGCCTCATGGCCCACTTAACAAAGCCCGCCACTTTCGAAATCTTTTAAAAGTCAATAAACCAATTTCTGGTCGAAGTCTAACCAAATTTGCGGTCGGATAAATAAACAGCCAACTAGCACATAATTTTGAAGAAAATTTCTCACTTGATTATACATTTTTTTTCTTTTGAAGTTCGAACAAATATATAGCATGATTATTAGTTTTCATTTTTGGTTTTTGGAGTTTCTAAGTTCCAACTAGTAAAACGTTGCAAATTCGAGACTTTTGAAGAAGTTTATCGATAAAGCTCGATTGATTCCGGTAAGCCTTTGTTCCTATTTCTCTTTTTTTATTTTCCTTTTTTTTTTCCCTCAGTCGCAACATTTAAAATTTTTTTTTTGGTTGATAATGTTCTGCTGCTTTGGTTGAATTCTAGGGGTTTTAGGGTTTTAGAAATATGTTTATGTGGTTACTGCTTCTCTTGTCTTACTTGGCATCAAATTGTGCTCTTGATGATATTTAATTTAGTTTTTTTTTCTTTATTCTTTTTCCCTTTGTCTGGTGAACTTGATTATATTCTAGTAATTGATAAGATATTCTGTATTAAGCAGCTGAAATTCTGCAGGATACAATATCTTGAAAAGGGTTGCTCAAAGGATTTCTAATAGTAGAAGAACACATATAGCATTTTGTTTTTCTAGATTTTTAGCAGGGAAGGCGGAATGGGTTGGTGAATGGCGACTGGGAGAATTGAATTTCGTTTTAAGACGAGGAATAAAGACCCTTAAGTGTCAGACAAAATCAGATTCCAGGGTTAGCAACTAAGGCCTTGCTTGGATTGAAGGTTTTCGTCGGAAAATATTATCGTTTTCCGTGATCACATTTCCCTATCACCTTTTTCCCTCACATATATCAAATCGCTACAGTAATTTTTCCATGAAAAATGACGGAAAATGCAATCCAAACACAACCTAAGTTTGCTTAACATGAACCATCTTGATACAATTTAAACGAGGTGTAAATTGGCATCATATTAACAAATCCCTGCTGCTTTTGTTGTTAACATGTGCTTAGTGCAACATTTCGTATTATGTATAAGGGAATAGTTCCTTTTTTAGGTATAATAAGTACTATTTGATGATATTTTGAAGCTTCATTGGCAAAAAAACTCGAACAGTAATTTTATTTCCGTGCTGTTAATATTATCCTTTCCTTTCGAAGCTGAGAGGTTTCTGATGTTCTGTTTTTCTGAATTTATTTCAGCAGTGCATACATCTTAAACTGTGATTCTGTGAAGATTTTTTGGGAAAACTTAGGATGATGAAGAAATGCCTTTTTCTTTTTCAGTGCGATATGAAATATAGGGTTTCATGCTTACTTGCACTTTTTTTTTAAGCACGTATATATGTTTAGGTAACGGTGTCAGATCATTGAAAGGCATTAGTTTTGGTGATAGTTCCATTCCATCTCTTATTTAAGATATATCACATTGCTTCGAGTTTGTAACTTCTACTGAATTTTTCTCATAAACTTACCATTGTCAAGATTATCAGGAGTCTTTTCTGCTTTATGTGTCCTACAATACTCTGTTTTTTTAAACTCTAAAAAAAATACCAGAAGCATACCAGGTGGCCAACAGATCTGGAACTCATAGTACGTTGCATCTATAGCAAAAAAAAAATTATTATTATTTTTTTTGGGAATCTTCATGTTATTTGTGCTTTTCTACTTTCAGTAGTTTCTACTTTTCTGTTGTGGGAGAGTAAGTTTTGTTTGGACAGGTTTTAAACTGGAAAATTTTGATATGACAACTCAATTTGGAAGGTGCAATGTCTGCTCCACCCCTTGTGCCTCTTGCATGCATCTCGGCCGAGAACTCTTGCAGAGGGGAGGTAAATCTAACTGTTCTTCAGATAAATCCTGTGAACATGATGCCTATTTTGAGCAGGTTTCTGAAACTTCTGCTGCATCTTCTCATGAGAGTGAAGGTGGCACTCTAGATAGCAGTAATGATCGAAGTTCATTTGTAGAAGGAGCTGGCCCATGCTTCTCAGCTGAGAATCAAAGTATTTACACGGACAAAATAGATGAAACAGTGGGTTCAATTATAGCTAATAGTTCCTTTCAGATCAATTCAGCTTAGTTGTCTTCTTTGAATGACTATTATGCTGGTCCAACCTCTTTAAAGGTCTTGAAACAGTTTTTTTTTTGGTTAATTGTTTACTTGAAACATTTTATATTGTTTAGGGGCAGTTTCACTGTAGCTCCGTGGATCAGACAGGGTCATCATCTTCAGTCATAACGGTCAGGGCTGAAAAGGTGCAACACAAACAAGATGTAGCTGATAGCCAAAAAACTGTTAAGCTTATATTTGCACAAGATGGTGCTACTGGATTCGTGAATTGCTCAAGTTATAATGGAGGCATAACCTCAATTGATCAATCAAATGCAGAGAAACCTTCTCAGCCTTCAGAGTTTGTGAGGTGTGATGGTGAATCAGCTTCCCTGTATGACGTATGTTCTACTTTCTTTCCTATTACCTCATTACAGTGGCTTGATTATTAGACATTCTGGTGATGAAAGTACTGAGGTCATAGAACTAGATTTTGTAGTTTCTGAACTTATTGGTTGATTGATTACTAAAGTTGCAATGGTCCCAGATGCTCTCACTTATAGTGTGTTCCTTTGACACATTAAGTCCTGTGCAGATTTACTGTTGCTGTCCTACTTGAACATTGCAGAAAGGGAGATTTGTGTAACGAAAGAAAATTAGAGTATTTAACATGCTGTTTATATATATATTTGTGTTTACATGATGGACTTACTTTTTTGCTTATTTGATACTATATACTGGACTTCCGATGCTTCTTTGTATAATGCAGAAAGTAATTAACATCTTTCTGAACAATAATCTGGAAGTGTTCACATAACTTGAACAAAATGTAGGAGTCCTCTGTCCATTATTTTTCTTTTTGGTTTTAATCACTGCAGTAGGTTTGCTAATAGGAGTTGAATGCCTGACCTCCTGCACTATACAGCAGCCATCTACCCGCCAGTGCTACCAGCCTAATGCAATCTTCTGTCCTGCCACAGAGTAGTTGTCTAATTTTTTAGTTTAAATTGTACCTTAAAACAGAAAGTAATGCATTTCTTTTACCAGTCTTAGTGTTTAAAATCAAAAGCAGAGAAGTTATTAATGGATTTGTTGTTTCAGATATGGGGTATTTTAGGTTAGACTTTTAAACTTTTTACTCTTTTAACATTCTTGTGTGGTAGTATTTTATGAAATTGATTATTCTTTAATATTTTGTTCTTGATATTTGTTGGACTACTTTATAATTTAGTCCTGAGAACACGAGAAAGATGAAAGAATGATAATATTTATCAGTAAACATAGAGGAAAACTATGAAGTAAGTACTTGCTGGCTGCTCTTCATTTTCAGTTTGAAAATATTTCTGATATAGTAGCTTGACTTCCATGGCACTAGTCTAATAAATAAGACAAATATGCAGTGGTTCTCAGCCTCCCTGAATCTGTATGACACTTCCAGTTATTCTTATGATTATGTGTTCATGCTTGTTGGGTGATTGAAACCCTGGAGTGACATGAGATGGTTGCTGTCATTGGCACGTAGGTAAAGGTCTGTGACATCTGCGGAGATGCTGGACAGGAGGAATTTCTTGCTGTTTGTAGCAAGTGCAATGTTGGTGCAGAGCATGTGTAAGTAATTAATAAAAAAAAAAGAAATTGTTCTGTGAATGCTCTTTTCATTTTAAATAGTTAGATGAGTCCCGGCAATGGATGTTTATGCTTTGCTTGTGCACTTCTTGATGTTTTCTCCTGGATGGAGTATGATTTAGATATTCTCTGTCTGTTATTTGTGATAGTTACTGCATGTGCCCAATGTTGGAGACAGTTCCTTACAGCAATTGGATGTGTGAAGAGTGCATGCTATCAGAAGATAAAGATAAGATGACCAAAACCAAATTTGAAACGCTTGTTACATGTCCAAAGTACGAATCTTTAAATCCATCAAACCAAGGGTGTCAAATGTCGAATACTTATGATTTCAAGGAACTTCATGATACAAATACTAAAAGATTGGATGCTGACAAGAGCAGTGGAGATGAAGCAAGTTCTCTACTATCTGCTAAGAGAACTTCAGGCAATGTAATTTGTACGTCAATGACAAAAAGATTAGCACTTGGACCAGAAAGTCGGCCTTCTTGTATATCTGGAGACTCTAGCAAAGCTCGGGCTCCAGGTTTTGAGGTGAAGCCTAGTCATAAATTGTCACTGTCAAATGATTACTCTTCTCAAACTAAAAGCATTCAAGGGAAATCAGGTCGAAATCTGCCAAAAACCAAACTATTTCAAACGGCAACTGGTATTGATTCTTGATCCTCAAACTCTGGAAATTTTGTATCTTGGTTCGATGCTCTGTATTAGTCGTTTTGAACCCTGCTTCTGATACTTTGATTGTGGGGAAATATCTTCCATTTCGCAGGTAGTCTGAGTAAGTCAAGATCATTTAATGATTCAGGGAAGAGGCCAAAAGTACAGCGGTTGGATGTAATTCCAGAAAATAGGAAATTCTCCATTAAAACTCATTACAAGAAAAAAGGTAGTACTATTCGAACAATGAGGAAAACTCTGCCACTTAATGATGCGAGCTGTGGCAGTTCAAAAGCTGTTGGTCCAAAAATTAAGAGGATTCCAGCAAAATTTTCTGACAATGGCAGTTTGAAGAGATTAAGGTGCATGAATGAACATATTTCAGTTAAAATGACATCTAACACCAGATTTAAGAGGCTGCAAGTCGGCTCTACAAAAGATGGTACTTTTGTTTCTGCATCATCACATGATAAGAAGTTTGAATCTCATGGTAAATGTACACCTCCAGACGTTTGTGGAACCAAATATCTTAATATCAACCCTCTTCAGATTTCAGATGACTCAGGTAATTCATGGAATTTGGCCTTCCACTGGTTCTGAAAATTCAAAGCCATACACCTTGTGCACATGTCTAGTTTCATGCCCTTCACAACTGCCATCCCCTGGCGAGTTTTTCTTGATTCTATTAAATGTTTTCATCTGTCAATTAAATTTACTCACTTTGATGTCTTGTGCTTCTTGACTGTCTCCCTAAAAAACAGTCATTGCAGGCAAGGGAAAGACACTGTGCTTGCCTATAGTTGATATGGTTGAGGATGTACGATTTGCCAGTGTGTCTGATGCTTCTCAGGAACCAAAGCAGAAAGGTGAAACATCTCATCGCTTGTTGGAGTCGACAAATCCTTGTAGTTGGTCTGATGCAATTGGAGAAAAAAAACTGACAGTGCTACGGACATCCTCCAGTGTTACTGAGAAAGCCCCCCAGACATCTCCTTTCACCTCAGCAAATAAATGTTTATCAAATGGAAGTGGAAGTGAAGACTATGGTAGAACTGGAAGTTTGGATAATGCTTCATACTGTCACCTGTTAGACTGTTCTTCACTTTCCATTCTTGATGCAACAAGGGTGAAGGATATGGATGGAAGCAGCCAGATAGATGCTGGTCCATCATATTGCAATCAGATTGATGCTTATAGGGCGTTGGCTGTTCCCTTGATTGATTACATATGGAAGTGTGTTTTCTTTTCTAGTCACACAATTTTGCTCTCTAATTAATGAATTAGAAATGTGCACTTCTTGCAGAATGTATGAAATCTAAGATGTTTCACATGCATTTTCTAAAATTCTTACAGAGGTGAATGCGAAATTCAGAACTCTTCAAGGTTGCCCAGAATCTTGTATAGAATTCAAGCACACTTGTCTACAATGTCATCATCCAAAATACCTGAAGCAGTAAAGAACTTTTCCAACAAAATTCTTTTGGAGGAAGTATCTCGCTTGACTGCATGGCCTATTCAGTTCCAGGAATATTATCCCCAAGATGATAGTATTGGCCTTTACATTTTTGCAGAAGACATTGAAAGGTATGATCTTCCTGTTTTTCTTCTCCCATTATGTTCAAATTGTAATCATTCGAGAATTTATACTAAATTTTTTCATTCTGATGCAGCTATATAAACTACAAGAGCTTGGTGCAATACATGGTTGACCGTGATATAGCTCTAAAAGGAAATTTCGACCGGATTGAGCTTCTTATATTCTCATCCCACCTTCTTCCTGAAAGTTCCCACTGTATGAACTGAATTCACTTTTTATTTTTAATTTTTTTTAATCTTGAAGACTAGATTTGAACATGCACAAAATAATAGATTCTCCCTGTTCTTTTTTGCCTTAATTAATTATGCATTTTCTTTTTTGCCAGATTGGAATGGTTTGTTATATTTGTGGGGAGTCTTTAAAGAGAGGAAGGTGAATTGCTCGACATGACTTGCATCTATCGCAGGACAATGGCTTAAAATGGACACCAGTTGGTAGAAGTTGTTGGTGTTTGCAGCATCAATGTTCTCCTCTGAAGTCTGGTGGATATTTAGCTTCATACCAGGCTCCTAAAAGTGGTAAAAGTCTCAAGTTTTATCAATTTACATTTCCCTGTCACTGTCACCTCCCACAGCAGGCATAACATGGTCATATCTGAGGCTTTCAGCCTAAGACAAAATAATCCAACTGAAGCTTATCAGTATAGTGGCGAAATATCATATGTTTTGAAATTTATTCGGTGCACGCTTGTAAATTAGTAGAGTCTGAAAACTTCAAATTTCCTGCAAAAATCTGGAATTCTAGTTTATTTCACTTTTTCAAATGACATCTATCTCTTACATAAATATATGAGATTTACACAGTTCCAATAGCATGTAGACCATAACCTTGCGGTACAAGCACAGACCTATTCAGTATGTTCCAGGGGATTCGAGGGACTCCCATTCCGTGCATCCATACTTTTGAATTTCTTAATGTGATTTGGCATTTTTGCTTGTTACTTAGGATATAGATTGGCATTTGAAGTTCTGTTCTTCAGAGTTCAACAATTAGGAGGATTCTCGTGGAGTACACATATGCAGCAATTAATGCATGCCATGTTGAAAATGGGAAACTTTGAACATCTAGAACACACTTTTCCCTTGTGATGGGATTTATCGTTGTTTGTTTCAAGTATTCAACTTAAATAATTGAAAAATAATAACGTTGTCTAATATCGGCCTGTTCTGGGGGAAACCCTCTGATACATGTACTTAGTATTAATATCCCACTATTACAGAATTTGCTGCGCAAGGAGTACCTTTAGAGCCTTACATTCAAAATGATGAAATACTTAAAAGACAGTAGGAAAAATGTATCCCAAAAGCTATGAACTACTAATTTTGGCAGAACGATGGATCTGCACTTTTTGTTTTAAAGCAAAAGAAGAAAAAAAAAAAAAAAACTCCTGTTACTTCCATAATGTCATATTCCATGGTTCAAAGCTCATTGCTTAGTCTTTTTCAACAAGTGATGGAAGATAGTACAAACTCTTTTACAACCATAGTTATTGCATTGGCCGTGGGATTAACATAACCATAGCCATGATATCCTCCCTCATCAAATTTACCTTTCACTGATGCACCATTTTCTTCTAATTTCTTTACCAGCTCAATCTGACGGTCAATCAATGGATCACCTGCACACCCGATGACTAAAATCTTCCATCCCAGAGCCTTGATCAGTTCAAATAGCTGCGGATTGATTCCCATCATCGGATTGCTGAACTCGTGGTCTCTATCCGCGCCAATTGGCAAGCTTAGCTCCCACATGAAATCAGTTGCACAAAGTGGTATTACCTTGTCATTGGCCATCCTCAATTCTGAATCAGTCCTCCTGGTCCCGCCAAAAAATGGATGATGCAATATCAACCCTTTTATCTCCAAAGGCTTTAGATCATCAACACATGCTGCTGCAAGTAATCCTCCATGGTAGGCTATATTACCACCTGCACTAGTGCCCATGAGAAAACACTTTGATAGATCAGCATACTTTTCCAACCATTCGTCGTTGGAATCTTTAATCGTGTACAATGCTTCCAGGCAATCATTGTAGGCTGCCGGAAGTCGGTGCTCCGGAGCAAGGCAGTAGTCAACTGATATGATCACTGCTGGGATTCTAATCGTGAGTTCACTGTGCAAATCATCAAACAAAGGTGTTGAGACGTTGCCTACAATGAATCCTCCGCCATGAAAGTAAACAATCACAGGCAATTTTGTGTCCGGTGAGGAGTCAAATGCTTCCCGGGGTACATATATGCGAGCCCAAGTGCCCTTGTGTTGGTTTATAGATATGTCTTTTGAAAGGTGTAAAGGGTTTCTGGGATCGGATGAGGCAGGGGTTGCTGGTCCTGGAAGACGTCTGATTGTGCCATCAGGACAGCGGATGATGCCAAGGAAGCCGTATAGATCAATATTAGGATCGACTGGTGATATATCAGACATTCTTCTGACTAGTCCTAGTTAACTGTATGGTTGTGTTTCAAATAATTGTGAAGTTCTATGAGTACTCTACTTTTTATAGATGTTCGATAGCAATTAACACAATAAGCCGTTTGGCCAGGTAGCAGCATCAAAAGCATGAAGCGAATAAGTTACGGCTGTTTAGGAAGGATGTCAACTTAGAAACGTAGGCTCAATTTTCTGGCGTTTTAGAGTGGAAGAGTCAACATTTTCCAACATGCTAACCTAAGCATATATGTCAAGTTTGGGATGTGGACCATATCATCGTCATTCAAATCATCTGTGTTTGTCGAATTTTTGGATTTGCACATTTTCTGTACAGCGACATTAGCATAGAAAAAAGAGAAGCACATGTAAGTACCATGTACATGGCATAAAGCTTTTATCACAGAAGAATGCTAGTCTTGGCTATGAAATGTCAATGAATAGAGGTAGCCAGAATAGGATCATGTACCAGACAAAATCTAATCCAATCACGGCTTCAGTGCAGAAATTGTCAATACTATTTAAGGTTGCACTAAATTGCACGAATCCTCCTCCATGAAAGAAAATCATTTGAGTAAATTTGGTCAATGCAGAGGATTCAACTGCTTCAGGGGGTTAATAATCCACGAATTGGATTTGCTAACCTGGATGTCCTTTTGAATAAGGGTAAAGGGATTACTACTCGGAATATCGTTTGATGATCCTGTGGAAGTACGACTGAACCATCAAGGTTGCTAAACCTTTGTCCACTATTATCGTTAGGATCTAATTCAGTTATTTTGAAAAGGCGATTATCAACCTTTTCAAAATGAAAAGAAGCATGGTAGAGCTAACTTATTGATAATTTATTAAACTTACAATAGTTTTTATAAGGATTAATGCTTACAATTGGTGTCTTACTTAAATTACTAAATGAATAAAGTTTTTGTAGGGCAAATTACATTTTACCCCCGTATGGTTTAGTATTTTTGTACATAACCCCTCTATGATTTCAAAAGCTATATATAACCCCCTCATGGTTTGGATTAAAGTGTCAAAATGACGAAATGATCATTCGTAATGGAACATTTGAAAATATCGAAATCACCTTGGTTTAAAAATTAAAACTGCTGAAGTGACCAAAATATATAAACATAATATACATAACACACTAACCCCGTATGATTTTATATTTTACCATATAACCCCTTTATAGTTTAATGTTTTACCATATAATCCCCTAATAATTTTTAAAATATATACATAAACCCTATGTGGTTAATACATAATTTTAAACTTTACATAGGAATATTTTTTATATTTTAGGTGATTCCGTTATGGATTGCAAATTTCGCTACTTTGACACTTTAATTCAAACCATGAGGGGATTATGTCTAGTTTTTGAAACCATAGGGGGGTTATGTACAAAAATACTAAACCACTGGGGATAAAGTGTAATTTGCCCTTTTTATTTTTAAACAAAAGAACAAATTAATTGTTTTCAGTAGAATAAAAGGGACATAATAGTCACTTTAGACCATCGAGGGGGGTGTGTAATTTCAGAAACCATGAGGGAACTATTTGAAGTTGTTAGAAACCTCTTTCTGAAATTATCTCTTAAATCTATGCTTCCTAATAGTAAAGAAATTAGTCATTTCAAAACTTATAATTGGTGTTCTTATTAATTGTCAGTCACACATACTAAACAGATTCTAGATTATTAGTCAGGGAGATTAGATAGGTCATCAATTGGCGAGGAAAACCAATACATTTCAAGTCTATGTGCATCTAGTGCTGGCTGTTGCCATGTAACCTGTTATGAGGAACAAGACATGTATGCTCAAATGACCTTATTCATTCCCACATTGCTACTTACCTCGTACTTGAATTGGAAATTCCCTTTCTCTGCAAAAACTCTCCTTTTCTTGTTCAATTGCCTTTCTTCTTCTATCATCAACAAATCTTTATTTTGTCTTTTCTTTTAATTAGCTACTAATTTTTGGGATTTGAGACCTAACCCTTGACAGTCAAAGGCTGAGGATCAATCTCAATTGATCTTGGCTTTTAATTCAAAATGCTTGTCTACATTAACTGATCTAACTTTATATTTTCCTTCCCACAAGTTAGGCTAACATCGCAAGCCCCTAGTTTTATTATGACAAAAGATGAAAAAAGACCACATATCTGAGGCTAGCTCAATAGGAAGACAAACTCAGGGCTCGAAATGCATCTTATGGTTCAATGGGAAGTAGCTACTCCATAAGCATTTTCTTATGGTTCAATGGGAAGTAGCTACTCCATAAGCATTTTCTAGCAATGGATGTCTTTCCAATCACAGACCCAATTTAGCTTTCACAAATAGCATCTACAGCAGAAGCAGCAGATAGTTTTATCAATGTTTTGGTAATGATCAATGATCAATTTAGTAGGACAGCCAAAAAAGTGGGTATTACTAGAAATTGAATAAATGTGTCATGGTTGTAAAGGTTAACGTTCTCATTAAATTAAGAGGTAATTATAGTTTGTCCCCTTGAACTTTACCCCTCATAATAATTTGCTTCCTTTAACTTTAAATATACATACTTTGCTGCTTTATTGACTAGTCAAATATTATTAATGAACTTCCATACAAAATTTTAACATGATGACATTAATGCCAATACATAATAGTTGAGATTAATACTTACTTTATGTGGGAGTGTGGATCATTTGACTAGAAAAAAGAAAAAACTAGTCATTGATATAAAAAAATTTAAGAATTTTTCTAGCGGCTGAGCAAGCACGGTTAATGCACCTAAATTCACAATTATTGCATTCCCTGTATTTAGATACTTTCCAAAATTAATTGTACTTTTTTCAAAAAAACTAACACTCGATGCCTCTGTTAGTGGTTGCCCATTAGCATTTAGCCCTAATCGAAAACTTGAAACTACGAGATGGCAAAATACCAAAGAGCTAAAAAATTATGTTGTAAAGTTAAAAAAAAATTAAAAAAATCTCGAAAACTTCTGCACCGGTTTTCCACTGCTTCTTTTTTCCCCCCTTCCTTTAAACTATAAATTGATTAGCCTTGATCATGATTTTGGCTAACCTTACAACTCACAAAATTCCCATTAGTCAATCACATGCAAATTGATGTTTGCATTCTACTATAGTACTTTTATTTACATTTTGTTTAGATTCCACATCATTTGGGAAAATTTTTTGAAATTCTCTAAACACGATTCTCACTACATTTTTTTTTGGGGGGGTTTTTTGGGGGGGGGGGGGAGATACTCTGATATGCGTAGTATAGTTAGTAATAACTCAATATTCCAGAATTTGCTGCTCGAGGACTACCTTTTACAATATAGAGCCTTGCATTGAAAATGATGAAATACTTGGAAGACAATAGGAAACGAGTATCCCGAAAGCTATGAACTACTAATTTTGGCAAAAAGATGGATCTGCCTTTTTTGTTTAAAAGCAAAAGAAAAAGAAAAGGGAAAATCGTCCAAAACGTCCCTCACATTTTGTAAAATAACTTTTTTCGTCCCTCACTTTTAAAAATATAATTTTATGTCCCTTACATATTCACATCGGTCAAATTTAGTCCCTAACTAGGTTTCCGATTATTTTTTGGCCGGAATCCATCATGTGCAAGGCACGTGATCATTTTTAAGGGTGAATTTGTCAAATTATATTTTATATAATTTGATCTATAGTCCTCCACATTTTATAAAATAAATTTTTTCGTCCCTCACATTTTATAAAATAATTTTTTTCATCCCTCATATTTCAAAAGATGAATTTTTCATTTCTCACTAATTATGTGTGTGAATACATTTTTTTTAAACACATGTATATGTCTATTTGATTTTGCTTAATAATAATAGCATAAACACATGTATGTAATTGGGCTCAACTTGTGGGCTATCTTCTTTTTTTGTATGATTATGACTAATATTTACCAATAGAACCTTAATTTGCATATTCTTATTGTATTTTGACCGAAAATAGCATTATTGGCCAACTTGACAATGAATGCAAGATTTTTTACTAGCTAATACCAGATAAAATCAAATGATCACGTATAATTTATGGTATTCATATTGTTAAGTGAAATCAAATAGACACATACATATATTTATGCTATTCGTATTATTAAGCAAAATCAAATAGACATATACATGTGTTTAAATAAAAATGTATTCACACACATATTTTTTTTTAGGGTTTCCCTTACACATATAATTAGTAAGGGATGGAAATATTCATTTTTTGAAATGTGAGGGATGGAGAAATTCATTTTGTGTAATGTGAGGGATGAAAAAATCATTTTATGAAATGTGAGGGACGAAAAAATTTGTTTTATAAAATGTGGAGGACCATAGATTAGATTATGTAAAATATAATTTGACAAATTTACCCTTAAAAAATGATCACGTGCCTTGCACGTGATGGATTCCGGTCAAAATATGATCGGAAACCTAGTTAGGGACTAAATTTGACCGATGTGAATATGTAAGAGACATAAAATTACACTTTTAAAAGTGAGGGACGAAAAAAGTCATTTTACAAAATGTGAGGGACGTTTTGGACGATTTTCCCAAAAGAAAAAACCAAGTATTGTTTCCATATATTCCATGGTTCAGAGTTCATTGTTTAATCTTTTTCAACAAGTGATGGAAGAGAGTACAAACCCTTTTACAACCATAGTTATTGCTTTGGCCGTGGGATTAACATAACCATAGCCATGATATCCTCCCTCATCAAATTTACCTTTCACTGATGCACCATTTTCTTCTAGTTTCTTTACCAGCTCAATCTGACGGTCAATCAATGGATCACCAGCACACCCGATGACTAAAATCTTCCATCCCAGAGCCTTGATCAGTTCAAAAAGCTGCGGATTGATTCCCATCATCGGATTGCTGAACTCGTGGTCTCTATCCGCGCCAATTGGCAAGCTTAGCTCCCACATGAAATCAGTTGCACAAAGTGGTATTACCTTATCATTGGCCATCCTCAATTCTGAATCAGTCCTCTTGGTCCCGCCAAAAAATGGATGATGCAATATCAACCCTTTTATCTCCAGAGGCTTTAGATCATCAACACATGCAGCTGCACGTAATCCTCCATGGTAGGCAATGTTACCACCTGCACTAGTGCCCATGAGAAAACACTTTGATAGATCAGCATACTTTTCCAACCATTCGTCGTTGGAATCTTTAATCGTGTGCAATGCTTCCAGGCAATCAGTGTAGGCTGCCGGAAGTCGGTGCTCTGGAGCAAGGCGGTAGTCAACTGATATGATCACTGCTGGGATTTCAATCGCGAGTTCAGTGTGCAAATCGTCAAACAGAGGTGTGGATACGTTACCTCTAATGAATCCTCCACCATGAAAGTAAAGTATCAGAGGCAATTTTGTGTCCGGAGAGGAGTCAAATGCTTCCCGGGGTACAAATATGCGCGCCCAAGTCCTGTTGGATTCGTTTATAGTTACGTCTTTTGAAAAGTGAAAGGGGTTTCTAGGATCAGATGAGGCAGGGATTGCTGGTCCGGGAAGAGGCGTGATCGTGCCATCAGGATAGCGGATGATACCAAGGAAGCCATAAAGATCAATATTAGGATCGACTGGTGATATATCAGACATTCTTCTGACTAGTTCTAGTTAACTGTATGGCCGTGTTTCAAACAATCGTGAAGTTTGTAAGTACTCAATTAAACACTTTGTGGATGTTTGATAGGAATAAACTACCATAAGTCTTTTGGCCAGAAGCAGCATCAAAGCATGCAGCTTAATAACTTAGCCGCTATTTAGGAAGTAGGATGTCAACTGTTATCTTTGAAACGGAAGCTCAATTTTTGTGGTCTTTCGAGTGGAAGAGTCAACACTTACCAACATGCTATCCTAAGCATATATGCCAGGTTTGGGATGTGGAGAATATCGTCTTCAATCAGATCATCTTTCTTTGTTTGTCGCAATTTTGGATTTGCACATTTTCTTTACAGTGACATTAGCATACCAAGATGAAACACAAGACGCACAAAATTTTGTCACAGAAGATGGCTTTATGAGATGGAGGTGCATGATTGAACCATCAAGGAGCGGACAAAGCTAGAAGAACAATGGGATCAAATCTAATTCAGTTTAAAGAAGGATGGTCGACCTTTACAGAAAAGAATGCAAAACTAGAGATAATAACAATTTGGGCAAATTACACTTTACCCCCTGTAGTTTAGTATTTTTTACATAACTTCCTATGATTTTAAGAGATATACATAACCCTCTCATAGTTTGGATTAAAGTGTTAAAGGGATGGAAATGATTATTCATAACGGAGTCACCTAAAATGTTACAAATACCCTTATGTAAAGTTGAAAATTATTTATTAACCAAAGAGGGTTATGTGTATATTTTGAAAACCATAAGGGGGTTATATGATAAAACATTAAATTATAAAGGGGTTATATGGTAAAACATAAAATCATACGGGATTAGTGTGTCATATATTTATGATAGTAACTTCGACATTTTAAAAGTTCTGTTATGAATGATTATTTCGTCACTTTGACACTTTAATCCAAATCATGAGGGGGTTATATATAACTTTTAAAACGATAGGAGGGTTATGTAGAAAAAATACTAAATTACAGGGGGTAAAGTGTAATTTGCCCTAACAATTTACTAAACTTGCAATTGGTTTTGTAAAGGACTATTGCTTGCAATTGGTGTTCTTACTGAAATTACGAAAATATTTTCATTTTGTTTTAACAAAAGAACAAATTCATCATTGACAATACAGCAAAAAGTGTCAAAACAGTCATTTTAGGCCCAAAAAAAGGTGTATAATTTCCAGAAACCATGAGAGAATTGTTTGAAATTGTCAATTATCACTCACAACTGTATTTTCTAATAGTAAAGAAATTAGTCACTTCAAAAGTTGTAATTGGTGTTCGTACTCATACTAAACAAATTGTAGATCATTAGTCCAATGTGTCGAATTTACTTTCAAAAAAAATAACTATGCATTCAATTTTATGTAAATGCTTTTAGGGTTTTTTTTTTAATAAGAGGTTTCAAATTCAAAATCTCTCACTTACAATTCCTACTCCTATACCATCCAATCTATCCTCTCCACCCTCCCTCCATTTTTATAGTATTTGATAACTAATTTCTTGTAACTTAAGGAGTCCAATTTTTTGTAACTTAACAGTACTTTTGTTAAAAGTATCTGTGTTGAAAATGCTTCTTTATAAGCTATTACAACCCCAAACGGGGCCTTAATGAGTGCCATTGGTGCTTGTTAGCTAAATCAAAATCTAAAGTTAAAAGATAGCGGAACACCAGAGAGTTAAAAAATTATGTTGTAAAGTCAAAAGAATGAGTAAATATTATATACACTATTAGTATATACACTATCATGGTTAGATGGATGATACATAAGCAAATTTTGAATTTCAAATTCAAATTTTGCACATGTGTCATATATTTAATGGTAATAGTATATACAATAACAGTATATATAAGATTAATCCAAAAAGGAATTTTGAAAAATCTCCGTAACTTCTATCAAAGAGTTTCCACCGTCTCTCTTTCTTCCTTTCTATATTAGAAATTGATTGGTCTTGATAATTTTCGCTTCCCTTACAACTCTCACTAGATTCTCATAAGTCAATAAAATGCAACTTGGTGTTTTTGTGCCACAATCATACCTTTCTTCATATTTTGTTTGGATTCAACATTATTCAGGAAAAAATTTAGAAATTCTCCAAACACGTTTTCATTATATTTTTATTTTTTCAATCACGAGTTATCTCATATAAATCACATTGAAAAAAAATGTTATAGCAAAAAAATCTCAAATAATAGATTACATGTGTTCAAAAATTAGTCATTGGTATTTTGATCATGCAAAATATAACTGTATTTTAATCATCAATAAATTAATTGTCGTCAGATATTTAGAATTAACGGAGACAAAATGTTAATAGGGACCAAGTTCGAAGGCTCGGGGGAGAGGGGTCAAAGCGTAATTAGCCCTTAAATTTATGATCTCATAATGGTAATTAGGCTCGTGTGCTGTTACATAGATCAAATATGTTAGGATATATTTTACAAATTAAGCTTGTAAATTCAAATACTACGACTTCTGAGCACTCGTTTTGGTATTTCCTGATTCAAAGGAAATTTAGACCTCATAAGTGTAATCCCTTTTTTACCTTGATTCAAAGGATATTTAAGAGGCACTGTAAGCATAAAGTATTTCACCAAAAAAGGCACTATGAATAGACAATGTGACTATGGAAGCTATGAATAGAGCAGGAGGAATGGCTTTACTTTGGACTAAGGATACACAAATTGTAGAGGTGGCCACTACTGCTTTTACTATAGAAGCTAAGATTGAAGGTAATGAATCTCAGGCGGCATGGTGGTTCATTGGAGTGTATGCTAGTTGTGATCAAATGATCAGGAAGGAACAATGGAGGGTGCTAACTGATAGAAATAGGTTGTGGGGATCTAGATACCTGATCATTGGAGATTTTAATGACATTTTGTCCAATGAAGAAAAGTAGGGGGTGTGTTTAGGGAGGAGAGAAGTTTTAGGGACTTAAGACATTTCATTGAGCTGAACAGACTAGTTGATATTGGTTTTGAAGGCTACCCTTGGACATGGAGCAATCACTGGGACAATGAAGGGGAAATTCGTCAAAGACTAGATAGATGTTTGGGTAGTATGGATTGGTTTCAAGATTTTGAGAGTGCTAAGTGTCACCATATTGAGATTCTAGCTTCTGACCACTCGATGCTTTTATTAGACACCAATCCAGGGATAGAAAGGAAAAAAAAGAGGTTTTACTTTGACAAGAGATGGCTCCAAAAAGAGAGGATTCAGCAAGTGGTGGAACAAGCCTGGAATAGGGAGGAACAGGGATCAAAATTGTTCAAAGTGACTAGAAAGATTAGGAATTGCAGAATTGAACTCTTGAAGTGGAGAAATAATGTCCAAGCTAACTCTAAGAGTAAAATTGAAGGCCTTAAGCAGGATCTTGAGAAGACTAGAAATGCTGGATTAGCTAACAAAAAAGAGGAACTTCAGGATCTCAAAAGACAGTTGGCTAATGCTTACAAGAAGGAAGAAGCTTTCTGGAGCTAGAAGTCAAGAATCAGCTGGCTGAGGGAAGGGGATAAAAACACTAGATATTTTCACTCTTTTGTCAAGGGGAGGAGAGTGAGTAATAGGTTGAACAGGTTACAAAGAGAGGATGGATCTTGGACTGCTAAAGAAGATGAGGTAGTGACTGAACTTTCTAAGTACTTTAAGGATCTGTTTACGAGTGGAGGGAAGGGTGAAATGACATAAATTTTAAAGGGAATTCCACACTCTATTACTCAGGAGATGAATGATAAGTTAACCAAGGAAGTAATGGAGGATGAAATCCACGATGCTTTGTTCTCTATGAATCCAGAAAAAGCTCCAGGACAAGATGGAATGACTCCATTGTTTTTTCAGAAATTCTGGAATACTATTAAAAGTGACATCATTCTAGCTATTAAAGCTTTTTTCACTCAAGTCACATGTTCAAATCAGTTAACCACACTGTTATATCCCTTATTCCCAAAACACTGCACCTAACCAATCTGAAAGATTTCAGGCCTATCAGTCTATGTAGTGTGCTCTATAAAATCATATCAAAAATTTTGGCTAATAGACTGAAATCTGTTCTGGACTTGTGCATTAGCAAAACTCAATCTGCTTTCATCCCAGAAAGACAGATTTTAGATAATGTGATCATTGTTCATGAGTACATGCATTTTCTTAGAAATAAAAGATAAGAAAAAGAGGGCTACATGGCTATCAAATTGGACATGGCAAAGGCTTATGATAGGGTGGAGTGACAATGTTTGTTGGAAATGATGGAAAAGATAGGTTTCTACTCTAAATGGATTAACTGGATTCATAGCTGTTTGAAGACAGTAAGTTACTCTTTCAACTGTAATGGTGAAGTTAAAGGTTTTGTGTCACCAAAAAGAGGGATAAGGTAGGGAGACCCTTTTGTCTCCATATCTGTTTCTAATCTGTTCAGAGGGCTTCTCCAATTTGCTAAGAAGGGCTGAGGAAAGCAAAAGGATCCAGTGATTCAAAATCAGCAGACACGGTCCAACGCTAACACATCTGTTTTTTGCGGATGATTCTATCATATTTTGTAAGGCTAATAAGAATGAGGCAGTGGAAATTATGAAAGTGTTGAAAACATATGAAAATGCCTCGGGACAATTAGTCAATCTGGACAAATCAGCAGTGTTTTTTAGCAAAAATATGTACGATGAGCAGAAGAAGGAGGTATGCCTGGCCTTGGGAAGAATGGTAGAGGCTATGCAAGGCAAATACCTGGGACTTCCAATGGTAGTATCAAGGTCTAAAGAGCAGATTTTTGGTTTTGTGAGAGACAATATAAGGAAAAAATGTCAGAATTGGAAAAACAAACTATTGAGTCCAGCAGGTAAGGAAGTGTTGCTGAAAGCAGTTGTAATGGCGATGCCTACATACGTGATGTCTTGTTTTAAGCTGTCCAGAAGATTGTGTAAAGATATATGTGCATTGATGGCCAACTTCTGGTAGGGTGAAGTTAATGGTAAGAACAAAATGGACTGGCTGTCTTGGGAAAGAATAACAATGGCAAAAAGTGCAGGAGGTCTAGACTTTAAGGATATTGAAACTTTTAATCAAGCGCTGTCAGGAAAGCAAGTTTGGAGGATACTTACTAAACCAAATCTGTTGGTTAGTAAGGTGTTGAAAGCCAGGTATTCTCCACAGGAGTCCATATTACAGTGTAGCCTCTCCAAAAATGCATCCTAGATTTGGCAAGGACTCATGGGGACAAGAAGTTTAATCAATGCAAGAATGATCAGAAGGATAGGAAATGGAAGGAGTACAAATATTTGGAGTCACAAGTGGATCCCAGACACTGATACAAGGAAGCCAACTACTAATCGAGGGAATAATTGTGAGCTGGAAAAGGTGGAGGAGCTTATTAGTCAGCATAGGTGGAACAGAAACATCATATTCAGATACGTCAATAGAAATGATGCACAAAAAATTTTAGCTATTCCTCTAAGCCTAGTTGAAAGGGAGGATAGCTTCTATTGGCAACCAAAGGAGGGAGGGCTATACACTGTCAATTATAGATATAAATTTCTGATGAAGCAACACAGAAAGAGAAGCAGGTGCAACCAGGAAGGAGCTAGCTCTAGCTATGCAACAAGTGATTCAGAATTAGCTCAGATGTGGAATACACTGTGGAGTTTAAACATCAAACATAAAATCAAGTTCTTCATCTAGAAATGCATTCAAGGTGCTCTGCCTGTGAAAGCAACAGTAAGTAGACGAATGGGGGTGGGTGATCCGATATGTAAGATGTATGGAACAACACAGGAAACAGTCGAATATCTTCTGCTGACTTGCCCCCACATGGAAAACATATGGAAGGCATCTCCCATTCAGTGGGATGGAGCAAAGGATTAGCAGGGAGACTTCAAAAGGTGGTTGCTAAGAATCTCATAAGCAAGGCACAGGTCAGAAGTGATGGAACACATTGGATTAATTGCAAACATCCTGTGGTAGGTGTGGAAAGAAAGAAATAAAAGAGAATTTGAGAACACTACCTTTGTCCCTCCATTCAAATCTATAGGGAAAGCACATTCTGAATGGTTAGAGCAGCTGTAGCTAGAGTACAAGGAGAAAGGAGAGCACAGAAGAAACAGTCCCTAGGCAAGATGTACAGGATCAGAATTATGTAAATGAAGGAGAAGTGCTAATGGAGATGACTACAACCACGAAGCAAGGGCAGCTATTTGTGGGAATTGGAGTCACAGTTAAGATTTTTGCAAGTAATACGATGAGAGGGTGGGCACTGAAAGACATTAGTTCCGGTAACAAACTCCTAGATGAAGCTCTGGCACTGAAGTTGGTGTTGTGTAAAGCTGTACAACACAAGTGGAGCAAACTTAAGCTAAGATTTTGTAACAAGGAACTGTGGAGACAATTAAAACGTCAGAGCCCAGCAGACAGCAAAATGGCAACAGTACTTGAAGACATCTCTCAGTTACAGAGATTGTTTTACATGTGCTCTTTTGGTTTGTATAGGGAAGAAAATATGATAGTTAGTAAAAAAATGAGTGCTGATGCTTTAAGCATTATTGTGGATGAGGAGCGACAGCTTCCTCAGTGTCTTTGAACACTAGTTGTAGAGTTTCGATCGAACCGTTGCTCGTATATGTAATTTTTTACCATTAAAGCAATGAAATCATCTTATTGTTTCGACCAAAAAAAAAAAAAAAGAGTATTCCGCTAAACTAGGTACAGCCTAATTAGTAAAGATTCAACTTCCTTTACGTTCCAAAATTGTACAATTATACTTCTTGCACCCTCCTTAGAAGACGCAGCCACGAGCACTTGTAAATTAGTGGACATTCGACAACCCTTTGACGACTGACTAATGGGCTTTACAAATGCGCCTGTTTGAATCTATAAATGCAACACAAATACCACATGACAAGTGACAACATTTTCCTTACAATCAGAGATGTTACATAAACCATGAAATATTCCAGGCCATATACAATCAGTCTACCAACAACGATAACAAAAACAACCAAGTTGGACTGGACAAAACAATGCCCGTCATCGATATAGCTCCGACCTTTGATTACCTGCAGTATGGAGGAAGGTAAGACCGACAAGAAGTTGCCCATTTTCCCCGGTCATTACAATCTCGACTTCAGAAAATGAAGCTGAAACCCGACTTCAGAAACAGTGTTTGGGAAATAAAACAGAACAGACCAGGTTAGGAAGCGGGGGTTCACATCTTTCCCATGGCATGTGCTGCTGTTTAGGATTTTCAGGACTTTTCCAAGTCACTAATAAGCAAAATCTTCCCCATAACATGTCCTGCTACCTTGCCAGTACAGGCATAATGTTCAAGCCATAGTACAAAGCGTCAAATTACTGAATACAGATTCTGATAATTGTCAGTGAGCTCCATAAGCTTGTGAGCAGCTGCTGCTTCGGACAGTCGAAGTGTTTTGTGCACCACAGGCTTCGCCGATCTATTTTCAATCTCTGGCCATACTTCTTTCTTTAAAAATTCAACAATATTTGCTGCTTTGTCCAACGTTTTGAACCATCTATTAAGCACTGTATCCACAAGTCAAAAGCCATAATGCTCATAAATTAATTTGTTAATGCAAAAAACGAGTCAATGATGAAAGCAACCAGAAAAAAGATATCTAGATTAAATAATGCCAAGGTGGTGAAACCCCATAAACACCTTGTAACCAAACTAGTCCAAGTACATGAAGTTGACGACAATTATAAAATTACCTCAAACTCTTGCCTGCTTGGCCATTGCTGTTCCAAATACCATGTTTCCCGTCGAGGGTCCATGTGCGTCAACAAAAATCACTATGCCCCAATTGCTTATGATTTTTAGATCTTTTTCTAAGTTTACACCCCAACTGTCAACCACAACATCAATACCTAACATTGAAGAATTTGTCATAAGATTATCACACAAAAAAACTACAGATATAGCATATATACCAAGAGAAGCAACTCATTCCTTTTAATTTTTTCTTGAAAATTTAATAGATTATGCGAAGCAAATTACTTCCCATTGATCCTCTTGTAGTCTTCAGGGCATCAAAAAATTCAAACAAACACTTTAACCAGCATTATTCACCCTCAACGCAATTCCAATAGAAAAACGCAATTCCTTCATAAAGTCACCAAAGGATTTACTTGTTCTTTGCCTTTCCATATTGTAATATTGGACAATCAACTTAGGAAATCCAGAAAGAGAGAGGAGGCACAAGCAACGAAGTAAGTGATGGATAAGTTTGTAGAAATAGGAGCGTAGGACTGCTAATTTAAGTTTGGGGAAGTTACACAAATACCAGCACTTGGGGTTGGTTGTACTCTTTGTTCCAAATTTCAATTCATACACAACAAAATCCTTAGTTCCTCTAGTTTCAAATTAAGTACAACTGCAGGCAAAACATCATTATTTCTTAGTACACTATAATCAGTTGCAATCTAGCATTTTTACTCAACGGGCAATAGTTATTTTTCAGATACACAATTCAGGATTGGAGTCCATATGTTTTGAAGAATAAGAATAAAACATGCAATAAATTCAAAAAATAGACACCCAATTCATATTTCCTCATCCATCTATTGTTGCCACTGCCAACTTCTTAGGAGAAAAGACATAAGATTAAAAAAAAAAATCTAAGTGCTATCTTTGCTTAAACCTCCTCATCTTCTGTAAGTGTTGAAGACAAGGAGGCTTAAGCAAACTTGCCCGTTTGGGTCCGTTTAAAGTCCGTTTGGACCCTAAATCTATAGTCATTTAGGGTTCGTTTGGTTTGTGGGATGACACAGTATTATATTAATTATCCTATGTCATCTCATATTTAATTACATTTTATACATGGGATGATACATTCAAATTAACCAAATCAATCCCCTATTCATGGGATAAAATAATTTCATGGGGAGGTGATATTAGTCATATTGGGATGATTGAGAGATAGGATAATAAAATTTTAAACTAATTTATCCTTACAAATAATATAAATTTATACTCTCATAATTATATAACCTTACCTTCACATGATAATATAACATGAATGAACTAATTTGCCCTTACTAATTAATTTAAAGTTTTTTTGACTGATTTGCTGCTTCTACCAACATAACAATATTTGGATTAGTTTGCCCTTGCAAATCATACAAATTCATACGGAATATTATATAACCATTCTGCCACACAATCACATGATAATAAATGGAATAATTTGCCCCTACTAATTATATTAAAATTTTTTACTATTTTACCCCTATTCAATATCTTAAATTTTTTGACAAATTTACCTCTATTAATTAATTTAAAATTTTTTACCTAATTTACCCTCACTTATATCATAATAAAAGGACTATATTGCCCTTGGACTAAATTACCCTTACTAACCTTATTGTTTCAACCAAATTCTATATAAATACATAACTTTATCATTTGGGCTTTGCAAATGAGGGTTTCAATAACCCCAAATTTAAACCCAAAGAAAACTCTTCTATATTGACTTGAGTTTGGCTAATTTAAAAGTCTTAAATGGGTTGGATTTTATTCAATTTAATTCTAACTTAGCCAAAATTCAGTCCATTATTTAATTGAATTTCAAATTTAGATTAAAAAACTATGTTAACACCTATTTTTAAGGGTCCGAATGGGTTTAGTTTGAGTGAATGCAAATTTTTATATATCAAAATCCTTGATTTACTTTATAATTCTAAAGTTGCAAATTACTTTAGTACTTGACTCAAGCTTGATCATACTCACAAGAAAATCGAACATAATCGAGTTGATCTCGAGTATTTGAACAATTATTCAAGCTCGAGCTCGAGATTGAGTAATGTCATTTTAGTGTCGAGTCGAGCTCGAGCACCACGATACTCGAGTTCGACTCGATTCGATTACATCCCTATACAAGAGTGGTAGGAGCGACTACAAAAGTTTAACAATGATTTATGAGAACGAGAGCAGCAACTGCTAAATGATTGGAAGAAGTTATCCACGCTTGGGGACAACCTAATTTCCCGCGAGAATACCATAAATAGGTATGAGGATGCCTATAACAACTGCAAGAATGCCCTTAACAAAAGCCAGAATGCCTTTAATATGCGACTGCACAACCTGATCACAAGCAAGAAAGAGATTTGAACGTACGTGAGGGGGATTTGAACACAGTAGAGGAGGATTTGTATACACGCAAGGGTTTGCTAAACATATGGGAAGGTCA